AGTACAATGGGAATGCGTTCTAACAGGCGCGCCTAACACAAAGAGGTTGATAAAAGAATGATAAACGTGTATTGTGTTACAAATATTTTTATGGCAATGTGCTTGATGATTTAGGATTTAGAAAAAGCATTACTTCAATATTTAGGATAGTAATTAAATGTAAACTTGTATAATTATTTTTATTCTTCAGAAACATGACTATAAATTATCGCAAGAAATATTTCTAATAGCAAATTCAGTTTTATCATTACAATCATTTGCATTACACAGATTATATTAAAATATATGCACTGTTTTAATATAAATAAAAACCATTTTAAAAGCATCTCTTCTGTTAATCCGTTTTATATTTGATAGTATTTTATATTTGATACTATCAAATATAAAACGAATTAATAGGAGAGATGCTTTTAAAAGGATGTTTATTTATTCTGTGAAAATAAACATAACATAATCTTTTCATTCATTGAAAACACTAAATAATGATAAAAAGAAACACTGTTAAAATTTAAAGAAATTGTGTTTCAAGCTTTACTCTAATAAAATAATATGTAATGACAGGACACGTAAATCGTACGTTTCATTGATAAAATAGCGATTCGGAATTCGCTTCATCAGTTTTCACTTTAGGATCCCCTTAATACTGGCCAATTTTAAATTGAAAATTATTTATTTTCAGTATAAAAATCATTCTTGCTAAATGCTTTCAATACTTAAAATTGATAATTAATACTTCCATGTTAAATTTCTGTAAAGCATAAGTACAAAGCTCCCTCAATTTTGCATTTGGCTAGGTAATAAAAGTTGAAAGAGAACAATAAAATATTTATAAAATTGTTATAAAATTGTTATAAAATGAACACAATTTTGCAATAAAACTGTTTTAATTTTTAAAACTTTTTAGATTTAAAAAATATATAAACTTTTTAAATATATATATATATATTTTTCGTTAGATATGGATGATGTCAATTTGTGAGAGTATTTTGTATTTATGGTCAACAAATGCGTCTTGTAATTCTGTATGGTGCTGTAAGAATACGTAATTCTGCCGATAAAATGACACAATAATCGAGACTACGAGGACAATAAGAGACTTGTTGCGTACGATTTTCGCACAGTTGATTTTTTAGGTCATCAGAGGTTTTAGGCGCTAAGTGATCTAACGTAACGTCGCCGGCAGGAGGCCAGCGTGGGTTTGCAATCGATGGGTTTTGTCGCGAGCGCATAATTGGAAAAAAAAAGCAAGAACCACCGCCCGCTTTCTCGTATTACATTAGTTACTTTACACACACGCGATTACCGTGACGTTTCGCGATACTCTTTTGCCATTTCACGGAATCGCATGATACACAGATTTGCCCAATCTCTGAGGGAACAAAAATGTTCGTATATCTCAGCTCGGCTTGCTGTCGAGTCTGTTCAGTTTGGAATGCGTCTCACGGGACAGGGCAGAGGTGTTGACATTGAACGCGGTAAACGGTCGCTTACTGTCGCTTTCGTATCGTATCGACGTGCAGTGCTTGGTGAGCGAACGGCTCAGGGGTGGTCGATAGATCACTCATCGATCCGATCGAACGAATAGCGATGAAGATGGATAAGATGTGATAGTAGAGCAACGGCGAGGAAAGGCGCGGTCACGTACAATGATAGTAACGCGTCACTTTGCTTGCTACGTTTGTCTACTTGCAACGTGGGCTTGTCAAAGGTGTTCACGTCGCGATAGTGTCAAAGGCATTCATACGACATGTGCGTGAGCATGGTATCTGTTTAACATATATTTATTTAAAAAATATGTATTACGTTTTTTTTTAATAAATCATTTTTTTAATATAGTATGAACTAAATATTTACTAAATATGAAGATATGTTTATATTTGGTACAAGAATCATTCATTTGATCTAAGTATCATTTTTTAATGAGTAAATGTGTACTGTAGGTAAATATTTAATAGATACTATTCAAATATATATATATATTTATTTATTTATTAAAATTTAATACATTTTTTTCTTAGTGTCAATATTTATACCAGTATTTTTTAGCAAAATATGCAAAAATTGGATCAATATGTTGAACTAGTTAATCCGGGAGTAATCACCTGATTTTTTTACATAAATAACCACTTGGAATATTTTTATATCTCAATCAAATTCACTATTATTATTAACATATTATACATTATTGATCGTTTTCCGATTTATTAATACTTGAGAAAATTTTCTCAAATGTATATGAATTCAATCACAACATTTTGAAAAAGTATACTGTTAGGTAGATATCAAAGGTGCAATGGCAACTTAATCCCTTGACTTACATAACATTTTGTTATTTATAACTTCCATATGTGTCAAAGTGTAAATCAATCCATTTCTATAATTGTTTTAAAATAAACAACGTATACATTTCATATTAATGTATACATTTAATAAATAAGCTAAATTTTATTCAAATTTAATACATTTCCTTGAGTTAAATTATTTAACTCTATTGTTTTAGTTAAAATAAAAATGTATTGAGTAGGAACAGTGGCGACCTACAGAAATGATTAAAAATAATTCAAATTGAGTATAATTTGATATTATGAGCTTAATAGTGTAGGAACTAAACAAATATTAAAATATTATTTAAGTTCTTCTTAAGTTATTCTATTTTATATTATTACGTTTTAAAATCTTTTAGATTAATTTAATAAAGCCCACTTTAATAATCGTACTATTTTCATCTTAGATGGAAAGAATGGCTTTTTACTAACGTTTAATTTAAACATTTATATAGATACAGATTTGAAAATGATTATATTGGACCATCAGATTAATTATATTGGATGATCAAGCTAGTTACTAGAATATGAAAATCTTTTGCAGCATTAACCATTATGTACATAATTATTTCCAACTCTGCATTTAGTTAAACTTTTAGATACTACAACAAAACCGTTCTTTCCATAATGCCGAATTAAAAACTACGATTGAATACAAACTAATGTAATCATTTTAAAATCAATTGTAATGTTTTACAGTCTTTATGCGTGATAAATATGTTTGAAGAAATTAATTTTTTCACGGTAGGGCGTGACTTTTAAGTAAATTTACGGCATGGATCGCAAAAGTCCGTATACATCATAACGAGCATTACGAGCAATGTGCTTTGTATTATATGAGAATGTACTTTTAATACAATTCGTCCTTCGACTTCGAGTCCTTCGTTTGCTCAGGGCTGGTGAGTCGTTTAGCGTCAATACACGCCTTTGTTATTTCTCAGCACCGAGATCCCTTCTATCAGTGACATGTGATTTAACCAGGATCACGAGGGAGTAAAAATACATGTTCTTTTGTTCAATAAAAGAATGCCGGATTGACTTACGCAGCTTGGTGACAGGCAATTAATAACTCGCTACTAATTGCTGGAAAATTCTATGAAAAGAAATAAATATCGTAAAAAACGTTTGGTATAATCGAAAAGTCTCCGTTTTATATAATTCAGCAAGTAAAAATCCTTTCTGCAAACAATCGATCATGATTTTAAGTCTGTGAACTAAGGGCTGTGATCAAACTGTGATTAATTTAATCAACAATTAACTTAACTTAATTTAACTGAGAGAATCAAAACAGGATCTTTAATATAAACTCTCTAAAACTTTTAGAGCGAATTGTCTGAAGAATGAAATCTCACTCTAAGGCCCAGTTTCACAATTCACAGTTAACTCTTAACCGAAGTTCAATTTATTCTTCATCTATTTCCAGTTCTAGAATTGAAAAGAGATAAAAAATAAATTGAACCTCGGTTAAGAATTAACCATGAGTTGTGAAACAGGACCTTAAAGATTGAAAATTGAGCCATTTTTTTTAAGACTTGCTCAATTATCACTTCTTAGAGTGAGATTCCACTCTAAAGAATTTGAAGAGTATAATTTATTGTTTTCAATCTTTTTTTATACATTAAACATAATGGATTAATTTAATATTTTTATTGGTTATTCAATAACATAGTACACCGAAAAAATTGTATTCTTGAAAGATGTACTTAATACTTCCTCTTAACAGATATAAGAATATTTCCTCTTAAATTAATAATATATTCTCAATTTGCGAAAGCAATCGTCGCCACACGTGCGCTACACGCCTCACATGGTTTTTGATGATGTCCCTTTTAAAACCATGCAACTTTTATCTGAAGCATTTTTCTCTAAAATGTATTGTTCAAGAGATATTTGAGATCATCGTTTAAAATAGGACATCCTGTATATTCTCATATTAAGAATATACTAATTTTTAGATGATTACCCTCTTAAATTAAGAGGATCGTCTCAGCGCTTATTTTAGAAGAAAACATACTATACGTAAGTGGGATATTCTTAAATTAAGAATACAATTTTTTCGGTGTACTGTTTAAGTTAACCGAAGTTTAGTTGAAATCACCCGTTTCTACTAATGTAGATTAACTTTAATCTTGGTTCAACTTGCTCTTCGTCTTTTCCTAATTCTTAAAACTAGAAAAAGGTGAAAAATTTGTTGAACCGAGATTAAAATTAAATCACATTGGTAGAAACGGGCATAAGAGTCATTTCATTCAATTTATTCTAATCGACGATTAGATCCTTTGGAATTGATCAATCGTATTTGTCATTTCGTTTTACAACATATGTGAATGGTCAACTTTAACGGATCAAATCGTCGATTAAAATTAATCGGAGTTGATCGAACTGATCCTAAGATGCAATTGAGTACATCATTATAGCCCCCCGATATGCTTCCGGTCATGAAATGCAGAAACCGCATTTAAATGTCAAGGTCGCAATTGGCGAAAGACAGACAGCGAGAGAAAGAGAGAAAGAGAGAAAGAGAAGAGAATAGCCTTCCCTTTTCCGATCTTTCCGGCAAACTTCCCGGGCCATCGGGTTATAGCCGATCACCTCTGGTTTCCCCCAGGTCGCTGGCGATCGAATGCACGTGGGAGGGGACAGACGAATGCGACTATAAATGGTACCAACCAGCCGTTCTCCAGGAACACAAAACAGCGAACCGACGCCCGGCCCGGGTCCCTCACTCCTGGGAGCGAATACTGACAGACAACAGCAGCGCTCTTTTTATCAGGAAGAAGGCGTGTGGGAGTTCAACGAAGGATACAACGCCCCTGGATCGTCATGAGAGGTCTGGTGAGTGATCCCGGGACAAAGAAAAGTGAAAGGTTGGGGTAGGTCGAAAGAATCCGCCCAGCGAAATGCCGATCGAGATCGCGCAACGAGATGACCTGATAAGCGGTGGATCAAGTATCGATTATGTATTGGTAATTCGTCACGGTTATAAAGGCCCATCGTTTCTATCAAATTTTTCCCAGAAGAATTAATCCTTCAATATTTTTATGGCTTTTTTAACGTAATTACAACATGGGCTGTTTTTGACACCCCAATGTTGTATACCAATCTTCATTTTTCTCTTTGATAATTTACAATTAAATAAAAATTGATATTAAGATTAATAAAAAAATACCATTTTTATTTAGCAAATTTATGCAGCCGGAATGTTTTGGACACCCCACGCGAATAAGGAGGATTAAAAGTCATCTGCGAAATATTACATTAACAAAAAGTTAAATTAAAAGCGAAATAATGCTTTTTGAAAACATAGGATATAATATAGAAAAATTTAATAAATCAAATAAATAAAGAAAAAGCCAAATATGATCAAGACTAGATCTTGAAATTAATTCTTTAAATACATTTTCCAGTTTTATAAACTGTGCATCGATTATTATCGAATTATAAATCGAAGTTGGAATAACAATATCATAAATTAAATCAATCAAATTTAATTTTGTTAATAACTTTAATTAATTAATTAATTAATTAAATCAAATTTAATATAGTTTGATAATGATGCTAATAAGCATTTTAAAACACTATACAGAACTTAGAAAAATGTAATATTTTTTCGTAAATATATATTTTTCGAATTAAGATCTAATTGCTCCAATTCGTTTTTTGTTTTTAGATTTTCCTGTTCGCCACGGCGGTAACTTGTAGAGCCGCATACGTCGGTTCATCCCCATATGGGAATCCTCTGGTTCACCAACAAGTTGCACCGAACTTCGCGCCGCCCGCTCCGGTTGGCGAAGACGGCAACGTCATCGACACGCCGGAAGTAGCGCAGGCGAAGGCTGCGCATTTTGTTGAATTCGCGAGGGCCGCCGCCCGCGCAGCTCAAGATGGGAAGAACCAGCAAGGCTTGTCCGATTATCAACCGCAGATCTCATCGCCCGCATACAGCTACTCAGCTGCTCAACCGACCGGGGTGCCTTATCTGAAACAGGCCAGCTACCAGCAACCCACTCCGATCTATCAGACTGCCAACCATGTACCGGCGCCCATCTACGTGAATTATCAGCAACCTCAACAATACGACGCACGGGCTAACTTTGTAGGTCAGAAGAGTTACACGCTCCCAGCAAAGCCCACCACTTTCGTACCGGCGCCGTTGGCCGAGGACGGGACGGTCTTAGACACGCCGGAAGTGGCGGCCCTAAAGGCAACCAGATTGGCCGAGCTTGCCGAGGCGGAGGCCCGGGCTTACAAACACGCGAGCGAGAATCCGACTGAGCACCAGGGTCAAGGTGAGCGAAGCAGAACTGGGAGAGACCGATGAACTGTCGCGTGGGCCGCGGCGTAAATCGTTGACGCAAGGCGTGAATAGGAAACGTGTTTTGAGATCTGCTCGCGGCAATATAACGTTAAATACAACATGTAAAAGTTTGATTGATTGTCGAGAAAATTGCGGAAAAAGTGGATGAAGAGTTTAGAGATTAAAGATTTTCAACATAAGCATAAAAATGACATTTTTTTATCTATAAGATAAAAATAAGTTAATGTGGAAAAAATTTGAATAGAATATTGAAAAATATTTTTATTCTACAAAAAAAATAAATTATTTTTTTATATTTAAGATAAAAAATAAACTGATGAAAAAGTATGAATAGAACATCAAACAATATTTTTATTTTATAAGAAATGAATTATTTTTACATCCTTAAGATAAGAAGTAAATTAATAGAAAAAATATATGAATAGAACATTTTTATTTTACAAGAAATTATTCTAAGTTTAAATTTGTTGTATTCTCTATCCCTCCCTGAGTTACTCTAATAAGTAACTGATAGTATATACGGGTTCATTATATTCCTTGAAACTGTCGGGTATTTTCTTAAACGGTGTTTTCTATTATTATTTTAGTTTATGGATCTCCATCCGGTCCCGCTCCTGCCAATCTAGGACACTATGGCGCTTCGCGAGCATTCCCAGCATCTTCGTACCCGGGAACTCAGCCTTACGCCACGCAACAAGTGTACAATCCGTCAGGTTTCCAGCCTCGTCATTATCAGTCCCAGCATCTGATAGGAAATTTCTAAACCTAGCGAATCACGGTCGATCAACATGTTCCGGTCCCTGTACATATTCTAGATGAATAAATTGTTTTCCTATCTTTACGAATTTATCATGTTTCTCGCGACGCAGGTCACTCGCTTGTACATCTCTCTTTTTTAAATCTTTCGAAGATTGTGATACATAAAGACTGCTGGAAAAAAGACTTAATAGAAGGAATGGACGAACCTCGTTCTCTCCATCCTGATTCCTATCTTTCTTTTTTCTCCTCTTTATTTACAACGATTTATCTCACATCAATAACTTCCTGATTAAATTAAATTTTATATCTATTCGTTATAAATTAAAAATGAGAGGTACAAGTTGATTATTATTATTGTGAATTAATGAGCGTATTATGTGTAAAATATTTTACATGATTACAAAATAATATAATACGATGACTAGTATTTCTAATTCGTCATCGTATAACGTCAAATAGGCAATTAAGTTTTAATAAAGTTCTATTTATGTGCTGGCCTACTTCTCGATCTTGCGTTGCGTCTAACGTAATTTAAGTAAGGCTGAAACGTTTCTTTACCACTATTAATTAAGATTGCAAAGATTCGTCGAACGCGTGCAATTTAATTAACTTCCGTGAATTAGAAACTCGTACTGACTTCTTTTTGTATATTCTGTATTAATCCATAGCTGTATTAATCCATTAAATTTAGATTAAGATAGACAATTAATTAATATTTTTTGTCATTTTTTAAGGCGCGCAAAGAAAAGAATTCGCGAAAGATCGCGACGCGCGATATTTCGTAGAAGAAATCGCGGTAATTCGTGACGCAACTCTTAGTGTCTTAATCTAGATAGAAATCGGAAGAGCAAGAAGAGAGCGATCGGGTTGTCGTGGGACGTTGATTAGGAAAGTTTTGCGTTTTGCGGTGCGCCCGTCGCGGGACGGTATCGTAACGATCGTCTTGCGGCGAATGCAGCACGCAATTTTACGTAAGCAAAATCGCGACACCTGTTGAATAAAAAGAGGTGCATTGTTCCATGAGCTAATCGGCATCGTGCCTTGCGTGGCGCACACGTAGATACCAATTTACTGAAAAAAAAATATATATATATATGTATATAATTATTATTATTTTTTATGTGTTTTACATATTTCTCAGGAAATGCATAATGTTTACGACACTACGCTCTAATGGCAATTTAATTCTGGGAACGAAGAAATATCATGTAAATCCTATTGAAATGTATAGTCACATCGCGTTACGGTTGTGAATGTTGCCACATAGGTCATCGGTGTACGAAAGACGTGAGAAGAAATGAGCAAGGGAGCGGAATAATAGCTTCGTTCTTCGAGCGAAGCCGAGCACATCGTGATTCCGAATACCTCGCCGCAGAAAGGTCAGGAATCGTAACTTTGTAACTAATGCAGAATATGCAAGAAGAATGGAATTGATCGCAAAACAAAGCTCGAGAATCAAAGAAAATCGAAATAGATGCATTGTAATTTCAGCGTACTTTCACATAGGAGTGAGTGGGATAGTGGCGTTCGCTTAAGAAATTTTATTAGTATTTTTACCTTAAATTAGTTTTTCATCGAAATCTTTTAAATTCTTTAGAGCAAAATTTTACTCTAAAAAATGAAAATTAAGTCAATTTTGAAAAAGAGTGACTCAATTTTCAATCTTTACGAGTGAGATTTCACTCCTCAGAGTAACAATTCACTCTAAAAGTTTTAGAGAGCATGGATAATGATACATTATTTTAGATAAACTTTAAATAAATAATATATTAATAAAATAATATATTAATAAAAAGTAATATACATATATTATTATTCTTAGAATTTTCGTAATTTTAAGAAGATCGATTGACCCGCTGAGCTCCTATATATGAGATTTAATTTTTCGTGAAAAAGATAACACTATATTACATGTTTAAATGTGTAAATTTATTTTTGTATGCAGTTTAATGTGTTATTTGAAGACATTTATTGCGTACTTGGATTTACAGTGTATTTGCCAAAAAACATGGGGTCAAAGATGACATCATCGGCTCGAGTTGACGAATTTGAATCGTCAGAAACGATCTATCATCGAGGCGTTTCATCTCGAGGGAGAAAAAACTGAATTTATTCGCGACGGAGCGTGCAACCTCGCTACCCACTCCTTCGTTACTTACCCTGCGCAATTTGAACTGACCTCGATATAAAGATACAAGATCGGATGGTACGCCTACCTGAGAAGAGCTAAAAATTCTGTAGGCGCGCGCGCGGAGATCGGCGGATGCTGCGTGGAATATCGCAGCCACGTCCGCGACCGTGGTCTTAACTCATTACGTGTACGTCGCGGGGATTACGTATTACGAGACCCCGTTTTACGTAGATTTGCGCAACAATCGGCGAGCTAGTCGACCGAGTTCTTCCGTCTCACATTACGATGTGGATCGGCGTCGATTATAACGGGGACAAGATCAAATAATCTTCTCGCTCTGCTCTGATGACCTCAAACTGAATAAATCTATTCAGTATTGCATTTTATTGCAAAAAGGAATTGCAAAATAATGACATAGGAATTTATAATATATTTATAATATATCGAATGCGACAAATTATTTAAGTTGACGATTTTTAAGGAATTAGCTGATATTTGTTAACACACTGAACCAAAACTGTAAATACAATAAAATATTCATTGAATTATGAAAAAAAATGACAATTAGTCCAATGAATTCTCATAATGATTTAAGTTGTAAAATTATTCCTAAAATTCATTGCCAGAATGAATATATAGTTATATAAATGAACCCAGTTATTGTATCAATGAATTAACTACATTAAGTCGGACATTGATGAATGATCATTTATTGGACGAAAAATGACTAAAATTTTTTTCAGTGCAAAATTAAGTAATCTTCTTCCTCATGCTACTCCGCAAGTTTGCGACTACAGTTGAAGAAATGTAAGCGAGTGCAGTCATTAACAAAAGTTGCTTGTTTTATACGAATGAAACAAAGAAATTAATAAACGCATCTGTTTAAAATTTAAAAGTAGCTCTGTGAAGGATCAAACTTGTATAAAATTATAATAGTTTGATATTTGTGGCGTCATTTCTGTGTCAGGCCGAGAACTTTTCGAATTATTCTCATACATATCAAAAGGAATTGCGGAATAATAATGGAGTATTTACCGAATACGGCGGATTTAATTTAAGCTCATCATTTTAAAGAAATAAAAAAAAAACTGTGATATTTGTTAACAAAATTAAATAATTTTCTTTTCCGTGCTATTCTGCTGATCTCAAATGAAACTATAATTTATTCTATATCGCATTATCGCCGAAAGATATCTTTTTTTGAACAGTGGAGCATAAAGGAGCACATTTACATTAAATACAACAAATAATTTAAGTCGACCGGTTTAAAGAAACTGACAAATATTTGTTAATAAAATTATTCAATCCCTTAAAAGGAATCTATACCTTGAGTTTTTATTGTCCTTTCAATGATCCGTTGCCAATTTTCGAAGCAATAGACACCAAAAAGAGGACTACCTTGAAGGGATTGTCGAGTAATCCATGACCGGTCGTCCGCGAATCGGGCGTGTTTTGCAAGAAAATTTTGTTCAAACACACGTTGCACTGACGTGTTACAGATCGTTGCATAGAAAACGCCATGCAGAGTGATTGAAAACAACGAACATCTCGATATTAAAGATTCTGATTAACTAATAGATCTTTGAACACTTGATTGCAGGAAATGAAAATTCGATTGCGAGAAGAAACGATGAGAAAACCGGTTTCTACGAGATAACGCGAGACAGTTATCCTGCGAGATCCTAGACAGCTCGTGCCATTAGCAAGGACGCGATTAATCGTGCTTAACGAGGTATGCAACAATGAGGTTCAGCAGATAATGATCTATGATGTCGCGTACACTCTCGCGAAAGTAGATCTGACTAACGGTAGAATGTGATAATATCGAAATAAATACTGTACCCAAACAGCCGTGAATGAATGTAACAGAATATTTTCATTCAAAGAAGAAGAGCGGAATTAACACATTTGCAATGCAGGCTATTATGTATTTATACATAATAGTTTATATACTGAGAGAAAAAATAGTTATAATTACCAATTTAACTATAATTCAGTTTTCGATGCCAACTATTTATTCTTTTAATAGAATTATAATATAATTATTATTGCTAATAGTATATGGAGTGATAACTAGATATAAAAATGGAATTCATAAGTATTTTATCATGTAATTATAGTTACAAATATTAAATATTTCTCTCAGTATATGAATTCTTGGAAGGGATACTTATTTGGATTTCTAGATTATACAAATTTAAAAAATTAAATCTTAAACATTCAAGTCGAGTGGATTAAAGGATGTTGATTGGACCATATGCAGAAGCATAGAATAGTTATTACGGAATAGTCTCTTTACGCCACTGCTGTTCCATATGAATATATATTTTTTCTAACATATACATCGGAAGTACGAATATTTGTGCGCGATAAATAGGAGATGCATGAAACGTGACGCTGCAAAATCACCGCAGGCGAAAAGATTATCGGGAGTTGCGATCGAAGGATCGGCGAGAGAGAACCATTTGTTTCGGAGTGATCGGAGAGGTAGTTAGTAATATCTTAGTGAATCTTATATAGTCTTCCAATTCTTGAGGTAGCTGCACGGAAAGAACAGTTTTGCTGAAATACCTAAAAATTTAGCTTATAGATATAAATCCCAAAATAATTTTGTTGGACTATTAAAATAATAAAATGTTTGCAATGTTGCTGGATGTTGCTGCAACATTATTAAAATGATCTGTGCTGTATAATATGAGTGGTAGCTGGAAGTTAAAATTTTTTCCAACATTGCTCATTATGTGAGCACATTCTACATAATTATTTTGATAGTCCAACAAAATTATTTTAAAATTTCTATCTAGATTTTTAGATACGCCAATAAAACCGTTCTTTTCGTGTGAGAAGGATATCGAGGATCATTGGTGGATTTAACACAATCGTGTGATCGATTTCATGGGATCGTCGACGTCCACTGAACGAGCGGAAATGCATTTCGCTCCGATCATTTTTTCTTGTAGTCGAATTAATAGTAGTTGCTGGCCAGGCCGTCCCAAGCAGGATTGTAGGCACCGTTGTTCCAGGATGGATCGTAGGCGCCAGCAGCAATTGGATCGGCTGGACCGGCCGGCACGCGCCGCGCTTCCGCATTGTAAAGAGAGAAATGTACGGCCTTGGCTTGCTGTACCTCGGGCGTGTCAACTACGCGGCCGTCTGGGCCTAGTGGGGCTGGTGGTCCGCTGCAAGATGTATTCAAACGATTTTAGAGAATTAAATTTGACTAGATTGACTCTTGTTATAGATTAAATGTATTTAAAAAATAGAATCTTGAAAAAAACAATTCTTTCTAAATTGGTTATATATTAGAAAAAAATTTGGTTGTATAAATTGAATGAAAATCTTAGATTCAATCTGTTGAAAAGTGAACAAATCAAAATTTTTCTGAAAAAATTATCAAATGAGAATAATTAATTCCTTCTTGTTAAATATAGCAGAATTTCTCGATAATAATATTAAAATTTAGTTAAATTAGCATAACTTTTTAGTAAAAAGAATATCTAGTGAATATAAGTAGCAACTTTATAGATCCAATTGAAAATATTAACAAAATCTTTATAGTAAGTGTATGTTAAATCTATCGACCTTTACAGAGACCCAATTTAATACTAGAAATTACTTATTTTGAGTATTAAAAGCACTGAATAATAGTAGTAACTAATATGATAATCGATAGTTCTGTTTGATCTCAGCAAAAAAAAAACGTTTTATCATATACATACGTCTTGTTGGTAAAATAAAAATCATTTTATGTAATCTCAGTGTAATTTAGTTGCATTTGGAAATAAGAATTTACAAAGACGCTTCAGAGAGATCTAGTAACGCATATTTGACACGAACCTGTAATGTGAAAGGTAATTTCCGGAAGCGTATCCGCTGGGTTGGGGATAAGCGCCAGGATAAGCGCCAGGGTAAGCTCCTATGGATCCCTTTGGTGCCCGTGCATTAGCCTCTGCCAGTGCACTCAAATGGGCAGCTTTCAACTGAGCAACTTCCGGTGTATCTACCACACGACCATCGGGGCCCAATGGCGCCGGAGAAGCATGGGGTCCGTACCACTGTGGAGCTGCCAGAATCGCGCTCGACATTGCAGAGAAGAGGATCTAAGAATTAAGATGTGATAAAATATTATCTTTTGGTTGACTTTTCATTATTAGGTCTATATTTATAGCTGAACTAGTGTACATTCTTTGTACTTAAAGTGAAATAGATGCATGTTTGAAATTTAGCAAAAGCGAGAAGAAAAGTTTTAGTGCAATCTAGTGTAGCAATAAAAACAAACCTATTGTTTCTTATTAACATTCATTTTATAAATATACATATATTAAGAAACAAGCATACAAAATTAGGTAGAATCCATTGGAAGAACTTATCCTTTTTCCGCAATATAGAAAAGAAGAGAACATTGATTAAATTAGTAAGTTACATGAGAGATTAGTGATAAAGGATTGATTAATTATAGACATTAATATATAAGGCTTAGAACGGGTTTTAGTTAGTCATTCATTATAAGTGTGTTATAATTATAAATGTGAAGTCTAAGAGAAATTGTAAATCAAGTCCCTTCTTGGCATGTAAGCTCCGAAGTAATAAAATTCTTATTTTTATATAAGAGTGAGAATAATAAAAGACTTAGAAAGTGAAGTAATATTAATTTCATAAGAATTTAATATTAATTGTCGAGATGCGAGAAAGTCGGTTAGGAGGAATTCCGGGTCACTGGAATCTCACAGCAAGCGTACTCACGAAGTATCTGATCATTGCGGCGGTCACCCTGCGTATCCCAAAGATATCCCGTCACCCTTAGATCTCGGCAAGACACTGCGGCTGTTGGCACGTGCGTTTAGATCCGCATTACGGTTGCCATCAACGCGTCTGGTGCAATTTATAGGGGTACGAGCATTGATCGGGCGTGTTGCTGCTGCCCGTGCCCCGCCTGACCCGGTGCGACTTGCGGGGTAACAACCACACCCAGGAAAAGCGTTCTCCTTAACTGCAACGCCGTGCCCCGTAACATTTACTTACGCTAACAATGGCACCCGTAAGCACGCGTGTCCCGTGACCTCGTCGTGTCAAGAATAAAAATGCGCCTAGGCTATGCCGTGTTAAACTATGCGCGTCATCTGCGGATGCAGTTTACCGTCATTAAAGTCACCGGCTTTCGCCAAAGTGACACTGGTACCGCGAAGCGAGATTTATTAACGGCCTTACACACGATTAGGTCGTTTGTGCTCTGCGCATTTTTTTTTCTTTGAAATACTGGAAGTAACTAGTTTACTATAGTTATAATACAATAATAAGCATCAGGTAATTATTAATTAGTTACAACATAATAATAATGATAATAATAATATTTTAAATGGATCTTAATGCTTATATATGATTCTTATGTGAATTTATATACTACGTGTGTAGTCCCCAGGAACGCACGCCGAAATGATTTTTCTGGGGATTACATACGTAATATATAAATTCACATAAGAATCGTACAAGCATTCAGATCCAGCTAGACTGTTTAAAGCTTTGATTTCTATAGTTTGTGTTATCTCGGTCCTATAATATATTATATTGTTTATTTACGTCGCCTAAAGAGACGTTGTTTCTTCATATGCCAATTATTGCGAAGAAAATTACTAAGGCCTTGGTAGTCTAAAGGCTTAGAACGCTCGCATGGAATGCAAGAGGTCCGGGTTCGACTCTCGGTCGAGATAATATTTTTCGCAATAATTAATTATTTACAGATTTTAATATGTCTCATTCAACATTATTAACATTGTTTCGAAGATGCGAATAAGCATCAAAAATTTGTTAAATTGCTAGTCAATTTATTTCGTGATATTACTGCGGTAGTTTAATAGAGTTAGCGTTTCAAGATCGAAAAATCATTTTGGCGCGCGTTTCTAGGAACTACATACATATAAGAATCATACAAGATCCAGCTAGACCGTTTAAGGCTTTGATTTCTATAGTTTGTGTTATCACATATACGGTCTTATAACATATTATATTGAACATTTAAAATTTTTTTAGAAATATATATTGATACTTCTTTTCTAAAAAATTTTTATTTAAAAATTCGCAATCACACATAAGAAAAATGAAATGTTTTTATTTGTTCGAATGCTATATGGACGATGCAATGAGTAAAGTTCCCGATAAATTTTCATTAGCATTTTATTAAAAGGAAAAAGTATAATTCCTAGCCAGACCGATTTACAGTTTTATCTTAGGCTTATATCTTCCGGTCACAATCACGCAACGAGTTACACCCACTACACCCCGCAGAGTTTATGGGTTTATTTATCCACACGTGTCATATCAATCACAATAGTATGTCAGGAGGTGGCGATAACAATAGTTGTTGAATAACTAAAACGGAGACGGTGGTGTCGCAACTGGCCACTTGGCCAGTTCATCGATCGAGCCCTATTGGTACGTCTGATCTGAAAGGTATTGCGCGTTTGTCACCAACGCAATACCGACGTGTTTAGGCGTTTAGTCGAGCTTGACGAAGTGACAGTCGATCGTGAGTGATCGATACGCACGATCGACATCCGAACTCGTGCTTCTGAACCGTAATTGAGCTCGGCATGTCGCCAGCACTTCACCGCAGAACCGCGAGAAAAAGTTTATCTAACCGCGTGAAATAAAACATTTGTACTCCTTGTATAAATTATTCAAAAGGCAGAAACGCACGAAGGTAAAGAAAAAAAAACATCGCATAATTAATTTCCGTACTCTTCTATTTAACATTAGAAATACCAAGCGGTCATTATTGATTTTGTTTTTTAGATTAATATTATTTTTTTTTTCTAAAAGGTAGAAATATCTGAATATCTTACCTTATGATACTCATGTATCCCATATTTTGAGGAAATATTTGGTTTTTCGCTTTCTTTACTTTTAAAACAATTTATTAGCTTGATCTTTTTAGTGGGTAAGAAACATTTAAATATATAATATCAAATTGAGTTATTTTTAACTAATTTAAGTTATTTTTAATCATTTTTATATAGATCGTTATAACATTGCTCTTACTTAATATATCATAAATTTAACTAAAATAATAGAATTAAGCAATTTAACTCAAAAATTTTACTAAAATTTTGTTTATTATTTACTAACAATAAATGCATGTTATTATATGGACATTGTTTACTTTGAAACTATAAAATAATTTAAGCATAGAAATAGATTGATTTACATTTTGATACACTTGAAAGTTAAAATCAATGTATTTTTTAACTCGTAGAAGTATTATTGCTTCGTAGAAGGATTATCAATTCTCTTTTGATATCTCACAGTGTTCTATTGTTAAAGCTACAAACTTGTCCGCGATATTTTTGCACGCAAAATACAAGAAGAAAATTTCTGATATAAAATTATTTATTCACATGTTACATTTTTTTTATTATTGTATCGTTACATATTTATGTCGTGCGAATACAAAATATTTACGTTCATCCAAGCTGCATATTCACCAGCGTGAACGTAAAAAGACGTGTTGTCACTTAATCCTTTGAAGTCGCTGCTTTTACGCTAATAATGCAGATAAGGAATTAGGTCCTTCCGGAAAACGTATGTTTCACGATAAAGGTATTCAATATGAGACGTGCGGATAGGTGTGCGCGTACGATAGATGAGCGACCTTGGACAATTCGTGAGCGTGGGCGGTGAGATGCGCGGCCTTGGCATGGGCCACTTCCGGCGTATCCACTACTTGTCCATCGTGGCCGAGCGGTGCTGGTGGACCGTGATATTTGCCATGGTATCCGGAGTAACCGTGACCGCCCGCGGGAGCAATTATGCCCTTGTATCCTGCAAAACCTCCGTCATAGTAACCTCCGTCTCCGCCCCCGTAATATCCTCCCCCATAACCTCCCCCATAATATCCCGTTTTGGCAGCTTCCGCTGCGTGCGCTGCTAGATGTGCCTTTTTGGCATGAGCCACTTCCGGTGTGTCAACCACCCGACCGTCATGGGCCAGCGGGGCCGCTGGTCCGTGATAATATCCTCCGCCATGTACCCCATTAACGTACGGCTGATAAGGCGCGTACGTCGGCAAAGCCAGCGTCGACAACGAGAGGCACGATAAGACGATCTGAAAGGACGAACAGACGAGACATTTAGTCGGATCATTAAGATAAGGAACTACGAAGAGGGAACTGCTATCATAAATCTATGTGTATGCACTGCAAGATGATTCACAATCGGGATAAAATTATATTCACTATCAGACATAAAACTGATGTGTTCATTGTGTGAAAAATTTAATGGCAAAGCCTTATATAAAATATTTTTTCAATCTGAATTGAGTATTATTTTGAGTAATTTTAAAATATTATTATTTTTATATAATTGAAGAATTATTATTAAAAAGTAATAATATTGTCATATAATAAAAATAGTAATAAAATAATAAAATAAAAAATAATAAAAGTTATAAAAAAAATTATTATTCTAAAAATAATAATATAAAAAAGTATTACTTTTAAAATAATAAAGCATAAATATAATTTTAATTTAGTATTATTTTTAAAAAAAATAATATTTCTGTTAATAGACAATTGTAAAATTGAGGAATCTCAGGCTAGGGTATCAATGTACTTACAAGGGTCTTCATGTTTATGCGCGCTATCCAAGATCAGGCGAATCTCTGTCCGTACAATCGGGCCACGTAGACTTTATATAGCCGACGAACAATACGAGCGTCTAATACAGACGTCTGTACTAAATAGAGTAAACGCGAAACGTTTTACAACACGGGCCCGCCCTGATTTTCATATGATAAAAACGCGAAAAAAGTCCGGTTTTTTTCGTTTAATATCCCTAAAAGCGAAATGGAGACACATCGAGTGGATCATTTTAGCGAAAAAACAAGAAGAAAGGTCAAAAAATCATAGCACAGAGAAAAAACGAGAAAGAGTTAGAAATAAAGAGAGAGAGATAGAGAGAGGGGGGAGAGGGAGGGAGAGAGAAAGAATAAGAAAAAGTGAAAAGGGGAGGAATAGAGGGAGGCTGGAATGTCAGCAAGAACAGAATTATGATTGCGCCAAAACGCGAACGTTCTACAAGCGATGTTGTACAATTCGCCTGGCAAAAAGTGTCAGCGGGCGATGGGAACGTTTGATCGATCGCTCTATCTCGTCGATCTCCTGATTTATTAGCGAATGCTCGCGAAGAAAGACTGAAGATTAGACCCAAGCAGAACAGCAGGTCACGATAACATTATATATAATGAATCATAACGTTAAAATGAATCATAACTGAAAAAGTAAGTTTTAATAATCGTTTTAAAATCATTTTGACGCTATCTTAATATCATGATGACATTTGTTCTTGCTTGGGGAGGCCCAATATAAATCAGGAAGAGCAATCAAGGCTGAGACAAGCGTTTAATTGCGAGTTTTTCGACACCGTGTTTATTATATCGAGTTTAACGTGACGATTAAACGCTGTCAATTATTCGTTCGTGAGAAGAAAAGCACTCTTTAATATCTTTGAAATTAAAATTATTCTGGACATTGACATTCTCTTGACCGTAATGAATTATAAAATACAGGTTCGCGCGCATTAATAACCATATCGTAATCCGCGATTTATTATCTTGAATTAAAAGCTACTCGAAATTCCGTCACGTAAAAGCGCGTCTAATTACTTAATGAGCCATCACAATTTACTTCGAGAGCAATATAAGAAAAGAGTGCCAGTTAATAATTGCATCAAATATAATTGAATATCCGATCTTTTATTGCGAGATCTAATGAATGATTAACAATTAGATAATTCAATCAACAATTAGACGAACGATACTTGGATGATGATTAAATTAATTACATCTTCGCACGGAAAAAATGATATATGAAATAATTAAATAATTATATTAACATTAGCTAACAACTTAATTAAAAAAATTTTGTTAATTGAATAACAGTATTGATGAAACAAATAATATTTTATTAAAATAAGGACTTGAAATGTTGATGAGAAAACGTCGTTTTTTCTTGTAACACAATCTTACACCGCTGATGCAAAAATAGAGAAATGTATTTTGTCACTTTAGTAAAAATCGACCAATCAGTTGTACGAATATTAGCCGAACAATATATTCATCATTGGTGGGGTGATACTGTTAGGTAAGATTAAATCACCGATTGTATATAAACCGAGCATTTAGTTCTCGATGGTTATAAAACGGTGACACTTCCATTCGGGATTGAACGTAACAATGAAGTCTTTGGCAAGTAACTTTATTGGATTACAACTATTTTTAACAATTAATCAAAAAATTTCCTTGAGAAATTTAATGTTACAGCTATGACACACAAAAAACATAAAATAGTAAGATGTAAGCAATGAGTCGGCCAATCACAATAGAAACATGAAACAATAACGTAAATCCAAAATGTTAGTTTGCTAACTATTTGCGTCTTACTGTTTAAATTTTTTGTGTGCCATAGCCTTATAAGTATTAATACTATAAGTATTAAATTGATTAATGATTAATTATTTATTTTAAGTATTAAAAGCACCGTTGTTAATATTTTAATACTCAAAATAAGTAATTAATCATTAACTAATTTAATACTTATAGTATTGAACTTCTCTGAGGATTATTGAAAACTTTATATTATCATCCCTATCATTATAACGATTAGATAAATTATCGGAATTGCGATAAAATTTACAATGAGAATCGCAAAACGATAAAATATTTTCTTCCGATTATTATTTAGAGATTAATTTTCCTAAAATGTTAACGTCGAGGAGTGCTTTTTTATTTGTTTTTGGAAAAAAATGTTTGGTTGAATTAACTGGAATTCTGGTGGAAAATAAACGATCCAGAATTTTAGTTAAGCCAACTAGATTTCTGATTAAATATACCAAATGTTGGTTATTTCAACTATAATTTTAATAGATTTAATCGGAAATCTTGTAAATTTAACTAAAATTCTGGATTATTCATTTTCCACCAGAATTCTAGTTAATTTAACCAAACATTCTTTTCTGTGCGTGTTCATAGATTTTCTTAATCATCAACGTTGTCATAACTTTGGCTATGCCAACGCATTACCAGTACCACGGACCACCGGCGCCCATAGGCCACGATGGCAGGGTCATGGACACGCCGGAAGTAGCACATGCCAAAGCGGCGCATCTAGCTGCCGTAGCGGAAGCTGTCGCGAGGGTTCCGCATAGCGTGGCTTCCTACGCGAAAAATCAGGACTATCACGGATATGCAAACCCCGTATCAGTTAATCATCAAATGTACCACAGCGGATACGGATATCACGGGTCGCCTGCCCCGTTAGATCATGATGTAAGATTTTTATCCTATTCATTGTCAGTCAAACAATTAGAGAGTTCGATGCAATAATATATATATATACTTCGTGATTTGATAATGCAGAAATAATTCCTGAAAATGTGTTCAATTTAGATCATCATTTTCCTCGATTTCTTGAAGATATGAACTATAATCTAATAATAATAAAATATGATATTAATTATTCTACTCTTTAAAACTTTTAGAGAGTAAAATCTCTCTCACTCTTAAAAATTGAAAATTAAGCCATTCTTTTTCAAGACTGGCTTAATTTTCTCTCTTCAGGTGAGATTTCACTCCAAAGAATTTAGAGAGTATGCAACTTGTTGTATACAGCAATAAAGATATTATTAATGATACTATTAATGATAGTTAAATATCATGTTCAAGCATGTAAATTTACATGCTTGAAATTTTGTAAACTTCTAAAAATGGATTTTACATTCTGTATATAGTGGAAATTACAATAATTGATTCGAAAATAGTTTGACAACGTTGGGGAGGAAAGCCAGACGCAAAAACATCATCACTCTCCATTTCTCATTGTCCCTTTTATTTTCAGGGTCGCGTAATAGACACGCCGGAAGTGGCCCGAGCAAAAGCCGCGCATCTGGCGGCTTACAATCACATAGCTTCCTCGACACCTGTCGTGTATGATCATTCGCAGATTTACAAGCCACCGGTTTACAATCATGACGGCTATTATGACGGCGACTCGTCAAGTCCCCTGTCTCACGATGACAGAGAAATTAATGGTTACAACGATTACTAATTTTGGTTAAAAGAACGTACGCGGCAACGAGATCGTCAAGTTGACACTTTCACGATTGAATAATGACGCGTTTAAAATCGACGCGACAAAATTATGAAATTGACGTTGCCACAAAGTTGCACAATTGGAAAAAGCGTTCCTTAATTTCATATGGATTGTAGTTAGTTATACAATGCGTTTTCAAGTTTCGTGATACGTTGTAAATGATATGCACCTTGCATCATCGGCTTTCAGGCTGAACCGTAAGATGCACGCATTGGATCGTTATCTAAGACGCATTTTAGCCTGTAAGAAATATAAAGCATTCCGTTGTTATTTCCTGATTTCCTATTTTATTACAACAGTATGCTCTAAATATTGCTGTTTTTACTGAATTTCTTTAAACGGATAGCATAGATTTTGCGTAGATTTTTCTGCAAAATGGGAAAAATTCACAGAATATATTGTATCTATATAAGAAAATTCAATATTCGTACTTAAAATGTATTTGTGCAGTTATTCCACACACAACAACCGAATTTTAATTTATAATAACATTATCACATGTAATCTTGTTATACTATCTTGATTATGGAAAATCATGTTTAATTATGATGTAAGATTATGATTGTTAACGTAGATATATAGAATGTTGAACAGAATGTAACTTTTAAAATGATGCAACATATAATATGTCCTGTGTTATAATTTATAAACGTTAAAAAAAGGGCGCAATTTAAAAAGATATACTTCAGTAGCACGCTATAATAATCAAATCTTAATAATCAATTGCAATTCATAACATGCATGTAATTTTATTACTATCTTGACTACAGAAGTTTAATTACAATATAAGATCGTGATTGCGACATAGATAGAATGTCGAACAGAATGTAATGTTTTAAGTGACTGGTTCTGTATTACAGTTTATGAATTTATAAATACATAGAAGAAAGAATGCGATTTAAAGAGATATACCTATTTCGGTACCTTACGTTATAATAATCTAATCTTAATATCATAATATGTATTATTGCATGTAACGTTGCTACTATCTCGACCACGAAAAATCATATATTTTATTACGATGTAAGATTATGATTTCTAATCTTAGATGGAATATCGAACAAATAATATTTTAGTAATCGATCTTATGTTATAATTTATAAATGTTAAAAGGAAAGGCAATTTAAAGGGATATATTTTAGTACAGCATGTTATAATAATTCAATATTAATATAATAACATTATCGCATGTAATGATACTATCTTTACTATGAAAGATCATGTTTACGATGTAAGATTATGTTTGCTGACATAGATAGAAATCGAACAGAATGTAACTTTTTAAGTGATCCTGTATTATGATTTATTAACATTAGAAGGAAGAACGCTATTTAAAGAGATATATTCCAGTATGTCTGTGTGTTTGTATATGTACCTTATGTTATAATAAGTAAATCTCGATAATATATAATCTTATTTCTATACCTTGACTACAGAAGCTCATGTTTAATTATATTATGTAAGATAATAATTGTTATAACTTAAATAAAATATTGAACAAGCTGTAGCTTTTTAAGCGATGAAACATCGGCACGGTTAATTATAATTTACAGTCGCAAGAGAGAGGAGAGAGAGAGAGAGAGAAGAAAATACGAGATTTAAAAAGATATATCTTGATACAGCACGCTATATAAGCAATATCATATCGTTGTCGAGAAACGATATATGCAACAGGCATACCTGTCAACATCCGCCTGCGGCCTCGCAAGCTGGCATACCTCGTCGTCTTTTTACATTTGCGAATGAATCCGAGGAATGATTGATCCGGTCACTTAACCACGTCCCGAGCTCTCATTCCGAATACGTCGTAGTCGAATTCAATTCAAGGCTCGCAACATTTCACACGACGACTCCGACATCCCTTGAGCTATTGGTTTCATATTTTAGGTCGACATCACGTTGATATCATTTGCGATATCGACAAATCCCTCTCAGCCCATAAAGAAACGCTAATTTCGAATATTTTATAATTAATGAAAAACTTTAATCTCCATTTCATTAAATCTTTGATAGTTATCTTTTTTGTTCCTCTTTTACGTGTTTCCTTTCTATGTCTATTTACATTCACGCTACATGTATTTACATTTAATTTGATGGGATATAGCTGGCTTTCTCTTATTTTCACTTCTCTTTCGTCAATTTTGAAAGTCGATTTCCTCATAATGAAGCAATTTTCCATAGCAATTTTCCACGCAAATCTCAAAGTATCTTATATAATTACGCGTGTAATTATCTTAGCACAAGGAATCGAGGTTTATCGTAACAACCGCTCGATTCACCTAATCGGTACTTATAGGAATCGCGCTACGAGATCGATGAGTCGGCCCACACATACCCGAGTTCGAAGGAAAACAACAAGTTAGCCGGCTAATTGCAGACGTCGTTTAATGGGCATTTAAGGCCATGCCCGGCTCGATTATGGCCATACCCGTATGTGTGCTTATGCTAATAAACAATAGGGTCGCCAGGCGTGCCAAGATTATCTTGAATTCCAAGGAAAAGGGCTTTTGTTCCTCGCGACAGTCACGTCGTTGCGTATCTATGCGTTATAATAAAGCGCCCACACGAATACCAGGAAAATTTCTCGTCCAATTTTGAAATGGTGAAAACAAGTGAAAATTTTTATTTGCACGCGTTTAAAGAGTAATTAACAACGCAACGTTCCGAACAGCGATCATGCGTTACTCGTTACGAAATCACGTCGATACTCTACATACGAGATGTACCAAAGTAAAATATTATCATTGTTTTAATTATTCAAAAAAGGGGAAACTGGTGAAAATTTTTTTAAGAATTTTTCATATAATTTTCCAGAATTTCTATCATTTTTCAAAATTTCTACATAATTTTACAACTTTCTCACATTTTTTTTATACGAATTAGAACACTTCTCAGAAAATCTACATCTTTTCTCAGAATTTTTCATATATTATGTTAATTATGAAATATCGTAAAATTTCTAAGATTTTTTGTAAATATAATTTCTGAGGAAATGTTATAAAATCTAAAAAATTTTAAAATATTTTTCAAAAATTGTGGGATGAAAAATTTCAGAATATTTTAGAATTCATTTGTATGAAAAATTCTGAGAGAAAATGTAAACTTTCCGAATATTTCTGAATATTTCTGAAAAATATTTGAATTCATATAAAAATTATGAGAAAAATTTATACTCCTACAAAAGGTTAACTTTTACAAAAAATTATCGTAATAACTAAAGACTTAGTCATCATAAAAATTTTTAATTTAAGTTCAAAACATTGTAAGTGCCAATAAAAATGCAAGTGAAAATGTAGCATCGCCACACCTCATTTTTCTCCGCTTGTAGCAGCACTTTCCATCAGATATTAGAATCTAGAACACAACACACTTACAACTCATTCATACAATAAAATGCGTTTGCACAATTTTGATGTATTACTACAATGAGTGATAATAACCTCATATTTTCATAGTTAAAAATATGAAACAATAATTGTATAAATTATAATAAAACATCAAGATAAGGATGGATAAATAAAATGAACCATTTTTATATAGCAAATACAATTGCAATAATAAATTACTATTTTTTAATCGCTTATTATTTACATGGTAATAATAATAAAAAAATGTAGAAAATGTAAAGAAATAATTAATCGTTTTCATGATTTTTACGCCTCTATTCTGTAACTTTTAACCCTATTTTGCAACTTGTAATTGTTTTTGCGTAGTTTTTATCATGTATAAAACTGTGTACATCAGTTGTGATGATTATAATTTTCCAGTTGAAGCAGCTATAATTTTCATGGTCAAAACAACTGTAAATGTACACTTGACACTGAAAATTATTATAAATTGTTGTTAAATTGCAAAAAAAAAATTTTTTTTTCAATGCATTTTTTATAAGTGGTTACTTTTAATATGATCTCTCATTAATCGTTTATTAAACTATAATTTAGAGCGATTTTACTAATTAATCAGTTGTGTTAATTCACTATATTTATGTATATACGTACAAAGTAATAAGGTTAACAATTTGCCATTATGTGCAAATGTATCTTACAACTCGGTCGTGTTGCTCAACGATATTACGTTGGCGTGGCGCGTATAATGAATTAACGTAACGCTTACAAAAACGCACGTGTTATGAATTTACTACATTTCATTTTAATAAATATAACAGATATGAATCGCTTAAATAAATATTAAAAAGTAGTTCTGCAAATTTCAAACCGTCCTTCCGCAACTACAAGTTTCCTTGAATAAAATTCTCAACGATTTCTAAAAGATATTTTCTCTCTAAAAGATCCTAGAAAATTAATGCGTTTTAATTTCTATCAGAAGCTTCCGTTTTTGAGCAAAATAGCATAATTCTTGACCCCTTGAAAATTTTCTCCCGCGAGATATTACGGATTCTTAAACGTCGAGCGGTCGAAGCGGTCTGCATGAGACCAGCACAAAGAGGGTTTCGTCAGGAAGTGAGACCTTGAGGAAATGGAATTTTCGATCGAGCAAAAAGACGTACTTGCACCTGCTGATACGTATCGGACATCACTCGTCAAAAAGCGACCCGTCCCGATCTCATCCAGGAAAAGTTCTCGATTTCGAGGACGCGCGGCCGACCTTCATTTCGCGCTCTTTTTCTACGTCGCACCTCATACATTTTAATTGCGCCTTGTCCCTTCCACCTTTCGGCAGCTTTGATATCGGCAAGGACGGCCGTTGATCGGCCGCACCTGACAGTATCGGGAAGTCGTGGTATAGTTGTCTTAACGCAGTGAACGGAGATCCTCCGCTGGCGGTGCGCAACCTTGTTGATTTTGTTTTTTTTTTTATTGAAGCTTTTTCTCGCGGATAAATATAGGGATCTGTCAATAAGGCACTGACAAATACGATTATAAGTGTTCAATATCACTTTTACACCTTTTATTACATCTTTAAATATAGATGCAATGAAGAGATTGTGAATGCATAGCAGAATTTATTGATCCAGATTAAGGCTGCATCCAGTTTGGATACTCACGCATTATAAGCTTTATTCTGTCTTCTTTCCACAAATAATGAGTGATAAAAATAGAATGAAGCTTATTATTAACCTGCAACTAGACCATCATATGAGTCTTGGTAAGCTTAGGACATTTTCCTAGTTTTCAAATAGTATAATGATTTGGAATAATTTTGTTTCACGGTTTGTTTTATTTATGTAGTACTATCATCGAACTATATTTATACTAACTATAAGTTCAAACGTTGTAATTCTTAAAGAAAATAAAGCTAATAACAAAAAGTTAGGTTTCAAGGATTTATGTGTTCCTTTAACACAAAAAATATGTATTACTATTGCTAATTAAACAATTAAGTTAAATTATATGCAAGATTCAGCATAGAAAAAACTGACGTATTTGTCTTGACTTTAATTACATCGCTCATCGGTTAAGCTTCACTTAATACGTTATATAAATTCACGTGCGCGTACAGGAAGATGATAGCCTGCTTGCACCTTGCGGTTATACGTCAATGAAAGGAACGCTCATTATCCATCATATTCGCGATAATAAACAAGGTTTCATGGCCGGAGTCACTTTCCACGCAATTCATCAAGCAAAAAGTAATCGACCCTTCGTGCGGCCAACCGCGCCGGGCTTCCTGTTGGATCAGTCGGGCCCTTGGCGGTTTCTCTTGACGATGATGAGGAGCGTGAAAGAGCCGGCTAACGAAGTCGGAAGACTGTACGAGACTGACCTCGGTGATGCATCCACATCTGAGGAGAGGTGTATCCCTTCCCAGGTAGATTCAGACGGTGGCAGAGACTCATTAACGTAATGTCAATGTCAGATCTTTGAGGCATGACACGGGGTGTGGTCCCCTCCTACGGGTTGACGACTCCCTACCAGGATTCACATATATAAAAGGGGATACGAGCTTCGACACAGTACGACATAGCAGTCCATACTTTAGGGCGAGTACTGGTAATCACCCAGCAGCGCTTCATCACGTTGATAAAACATGAAGGCTCTCGTGAGTACCATTGGTCGATGGCGGGCCTCCGAAAATTAATCTTACGGGCGAGAATTGTATACAATAGTCTATTCTATCAACATAATTATTGTCAAACGCCAAATATGATACAACATCTATTTATTAGTTTTAATTGGAGTCAATATATTCTTCGCCATTAATTTTTTCCGTAGTTAAATTACTCCAATTTTGGAGCCAGATACTTCGCAAATATTTAGGATAATTATGCATAGAATTCACTCGTGTATTTATTTTGCAGATTATTCTATTCGCATTCTGCGCCATCGCGACGGCAACACCGGTCTTGGACACGCCGGAGGTAGCGCAAGCGAAAGCGGCGCATCTCGCCACTCAGGCTTATGAGGCCGCGAGGAACACGATCGGTTATGGATGGCCCGGTTATGGATGGTCCGGTTACGGATGGCCCGCCCTTTATGCACCTGCAATTGCATACGGCGCTCCCATCGGCGCGGATGGCCGAGTGATAGACACACCTGAGGTCGCCCAGGCCAAGGCTGCCCATCTCGCCGCTCACGCCCAAGTATGACACTCTTGGTTTAGAGATGGTTGCGCAAACGGCAATAGCTATTCGTGACCGATATTCAATGCAGTATCGCTCGTTATTATTAAACGTCGAGAGCCGCCGAGGCAACGTTGATCTACGGTATAGAAATATTACATATATTCAGGTGTAAGCCGCGATCCGATCATTTTGTTCCATATCATTTTGTTTCTGAGACTTTTTGGTAACGTTAGTTCATTCTTTGTGATTCCGCTGCGTCGCAATGTCATATCGACGATTTAATTAAATATTTATTCACACAACAGGAGGCTGCCAAGATCGGACTGGTTCCATACGGTGCACTAGCATACGCCACCTCGCCTGCATTCTATGCTTACGCTCCACTTGGACCTGATGGCAGGGTAATCGACACTCCTGAAGTGGCCCAGGCTAAGGCAGCACATTTGGCCGCACACGCTGCAGCAGCCCGAAACGCTGTTTAATAAATTGTAAAGTAATCATTGGAAATTGCGTATTGATAAAATCAAGCTATCTCTTCTCAATTGCGAAAGTACATGCGGAGACACTTGTGCCATGATTAGCCATGTTTTATATGGATCTGATGTGAGGAAGTTTTAACAATAAACAAGCCATTTTTAAGAATTGTATGTGGTTTGGATTCGTCCTTTTTATTAAATAAATTAAATTCGGAAGTATTTGATACACAACAATTCAAAAGATAATATAATTTTCTTATATTGTGATTTAACGAGTGTTAAATAATCAGAAATAAATAGAAATAATGAGTCTTTAAATACAACGAAATATACACAAACGCGTTAAACTTTTCATCGCGATATATAATTTTGTATCAGCAATCTGGGTCTTTAAACACATTTTCATTCTTTACGGTTCTATCCTGGGTATTTCCTGTCCGACCAATTCCTGTTCATGCAAATTTCTCATAAGTTCTACGAATTAAATTGTATACTGCATATTATTATTTATCAAATAAAATTTAAACGTTCTTTAAAAAGATTTGCATGGTTTGCAAAATGAGATGTGTACACAAATTCATACAGAAATATTTAAGCACTAAAATCCACTTTGGCCAAATACATATAGGCCTTCTGTTATTTAATTAAATTTATTCTCATCGGTCCAAATTTGTATTATAATTATTTAAGGGGTACCATCTAGGTGAAAATTTTCAAAAAATCGAAAAAATTTTTTTTGTCTGAAATGATGCTTTAGACTCTAAAGTTTAGAGTCTTAAAAATAAGGTGCAATTGATCTTATACGTAAAAAAATTTTTTTTAATGGTTTTACAACGGTATTTCTTAAAGCGCGGCGTGACGCTATCTAAGCGCATCGGAGAAGCGCGCAGCAGTTTAAGGCTTTTGCGTTCTGTAGATACATTACATCAATGTTAGTTCAAAATGTATTATAAGAAAGCAGCTGAAAAGGAGAAGAAACTGTCGACAGTAAAGGACATAATGGAATTATTGTGTCTGATGATAGGACGTATGGAGAAAGCGAGGATTTTCGTCAATTCGACTGTGTGGTCGCTCGCTCCGAAAACGTCTTCAAGTGGTAAAAAAATAATCGACATCGCTGCAAATATTGCAACTTCCATTTTCAATGATGAATTTCAAGTATAATGGAAATTATGCAAGTGTTATACAACTGACTGATAGACCACAATTGTTATAATTTCTATGTCGAAGCTAACGCGCGCCGCGTCAAGTTTGCCGAGTGCTCGCTTACAGATGCCGCTCGTAAAGCTTCCACATTCTTCAGGAAAGAGGAAAAGGAAGCAAATATCAATGCAGAAGGACAATTGTATGGTGCAGACATCACAGACTAAAGATAAATTAAAAATTTCTGTAGTTAAATATGAAATAATGTTACTCAAAACTTTAAACACACTTTTCTCGAAACCATGCTTTTCTAATTGGCTTGCAGCATAACTTTAACAAACTTTATCCAATCCACTTGAAATATTTACAGCAGTCGCTAAACTAAATTCTCTAGAGAAGCACACATGATTTTTATAATCGGTTAAAAACTTTTTTTGTTATAAATACTGTTTATTGAATTTTTTTGCGTGAAAATGAACTTTGTAGTCACAAATGTTCATCATTTCTACAAAAATCAATATTTTAACATATAGATGTGTACTTCTCTAGCAAATTAATAGATTATAAAAAAATTTTGCTTTTTGTCCTTAATGAAAGTGAACGGCACTTATGCTGCAAGTCCCGGAGGCCTATGAAAAAAACGCAGTCTCACTTATATTGTAGAGTTTCAGCGCCGCCATCTTGATACAAAAAAATTAAACAAAAATAATTTTGTGTCCTTAGATATATGTAGGTACATACAAAGGTCTCCAATCCGAATTTCTACTCATCTTATTATTTGACTATAACAAATTTACAAAGTTACCTTATGTTTTCAGGCGTTATCCTTTAAACATTTGTTTTAGAAAATTGAAAATATGTTTGTGAATTTTTAGGGAGTGCACACTGTTACAATTGCCCTGCCAATCACAGCGACTTCTGCATAGGAAGTTTTCTTTAATTTTTTTTCTAGCTCTGTGCTTGTGCGCAATTGGCTCGTGTATAATTGATATACACCCAATTTTTTAAGATTTTTAAATCATTTTAAGAGTAGGTAAAAAAACGGACGGATTCAAGATACCCAGACTTATACCAGAGGTATCGTTTTGTATTTGATACCGCAAAGGTTATATGATTTCAAACTGTATAAAAATCTAAAAAAATTCTTGTATACTTGTGTGAAAGCTTTAACGAATTTTTACTATCGTAGAAGTCAAGTTGTATTTTAATTATTTTTTAAGCGTTTTCCACTGAAAAACCTTGTGCAGCACCAGCGCTATGCTAGATTTTGATGCTACATACACTCAATTGATAGCTACCATTCGGATTGTACAATAAAAGTACTTTTATTTTTTTTCTATGTACCCTATGAGCGGAGATATATATAATTACACAGACCTAAATTGTTTATTTTACAATGATATTCTGATTGATTTACTTAGTTTTTAAAAACTTCAAGATTTTTAAATATCAAAATTTTAATGTCATTTACGTACTTATTATTAAAAACACCAAAATTAAGAACAATATTGTTGTATGAAGTTAATTAGAATAATGTTATACCTTAAAGCATGAACACAATCTGAATTTCAACTTGAACTGATTTCCATTATTTTTAAAAAGGAAGAAAATCGGAGAATTCTGTGTAATGGTGCTTTTTTTGCACCAGTTTTGTCTGTGGAAGATTACACTGAAAATATGTAAACTGATTTTCACAATGGAACAATACAATTACACTCAGTGCTGCACTAGTTTCCTCAACAAAAAACGCTATACAGATTAAAATTTGGGTGCGGTCCACTTGGCGCTACAAATGCTTCGAATCGTTTGGAGCGTTGTTTTAACTGGTCCACATGGCGCTTCAAATGTGTCCCAACAGCACGTATGACGTCATTAATACATCACAGGTTTCCACTTCCACCTTATTACCAATTGCTTCCAATGCTACTGCTTGGAGAGGTAGTTTAACTGAAGCGTTTAGTTTGAATATACAAAGCGCGGGAAAGCATAATAATAATTAATTGAACGAAAAACTGATCTTTAATCTGTAAAGCTGATTTTTAAATTTACATATTATTATATCGTGGCATCGTGCTACATATATTACTACCAATCGTGCTGTATGGTATATTGTATATATTACATTATTAAAAATAAAAATTGTATAAACTATGCCGATTATAAGGTTACATGAAGGAGATACTGGAATGATTCATAATCTAGAAGTTTCCGAAGAGGATGCTATTATCTTCATCATAAATATAAGTAAGCGATTCTAAAAAAAACTTCACAGCGCACGTTAGCATGACTTTCATTTTATCCGTAATTGCAAAATACGTACTAACGCTTCAAAACGCTTCAAAAATTGGTCCATTTGCATATTGTTGGCAGCATTAGTAATGCTAATGGACCGTTCTATAGAAGCATATGAAAGTGAAAACGTTTGAAGCGTTTGTAGCGCCAAGTGAACCGCACCCTTTATATACCAAAATTCATAATAAAAATCGACTGTTTCTTCGAAGTCCCACATTACCGGCTGAGAGGCAATTATTTAAATTGTTTTTTAAAAAATATTCAATAATCACATCATAAAAATTCTAAAAAAGATGAATGGTCCAACATCGTCATTCTGTACATTACTCGGCCTTCCCGATTTCGAGCGCTTTCCGCGCCATCGCCACCGCGCCGTCCTTGGTTTTATGACCGCCGATGAACCGAACAGAGTGCACAAATATAGCGCCTTCAATTCCACAAGCTTCCACAAGGGCATCAGCGCGCAAACCGCCCCACGCTGCTGGCAAAAACATCCTGCACACGAAACTTCCCAGCGCTACCGGCATACATTGAACCCGATAAGCGTTATCAGCCTCAAAAATGGCGTACTTTATTGATGGCGACACGTTCATATCCTTCTCCAGTTGAAACAAATGTTCCTTCCACGGTACTGCTTGCGACAACACTATTATCTCTCCGCTCGGATCGACCTTACGGAAATATTTTAAATTTAAATCACAATCGAAATGTCTAAAGCAAAAAGATAGAGGTAGAGTTCTCCTTACTTCAAATCGATTTTCCACAGCGCGTCGTACAAGATCTCTTGCCGGTAACCATACGTTTTTCGAGTATTGTACAAATTCTAAAAATTCCTCCAGAACCAAAGCCATAGCTTTCTCAAATTGTTTCTCGATATCTACATCCCGACTGTTCCACTGAGGATTCAGTCTGCTTACGCGCGCGCTTAAGTCGGTAACTATTCGATATCTGAAACAAACGCAAGTGCAATAATTTCGAAGAAGACTGTTGTGCTATGTATCGTCATAAGTGTCTGCTTACAATGGCTCAGCATCATACATGGGTATGCCGTTATCTATACCATCAATTTCCTTGATTAGGGTGTCGTAGATTTTCTTGAAAATCTCATCGATGATTCTATCCTCTGTTATATTCGAAAGTATATTCCTTAATATCTCATGACCGAAATGGCAGTAGATCAGTCCGGCACTGCTTAGTCTTATTGTCCAATCGTATCCTGGTTTTTTCATAACGGTACTCATCGATTCTTGAAATTCTCTGATACGAGAAAAGAATAAATAACACAATGCGACAAAAATTGAGATTTTGCCAAAAATAGAGATTGGCGCCTCCGGTGAAAAAAATTTTCATTACATCATGTATCTTTTTTAAAAACATATGTTTAAAATTTATAAAGATTTATGAAAAAATACTTTAAACTTTTTCAGATTTTATACGCGTGTTTTCGTCAGAAATTATAGAACGAAAAATCTTAAGAATACTTCAAAATAGCTTAAAATATTTCAAAATTCACATATATGAAGAATTCTATAGTTGAAAAGATGTGTAGACTTTCTTAGTACTACCGACAATTCCAATTCGTATAAAAAATCTGAGAAACTGATTTGAAGAATTTTAAGAAAAATTTTCATCAGAGGTATCATTAATGACACTAATGCCAAAATCTGTAACAAATTACTGAATCTGTGAGATCCATTTAATTTATTAATTAAAAGACACTAATTAATTTCAAGGAATCAAAATGACATAACATATATAAAAAAATGAATACCAAATATTTTAATAAAACTGATTCCAAAGGACTTCTAATTATATGGCAGTAGATAGAAAATTGGGTCTTAGTGAATGAGTTAGTTTTTGCATATAAGTAATGTAGCTTATAATGTAATAAATAAAAGATATAGGGTTCAATAATGGATAGTTTTTGAGTTATGGATATTATAGTAGTACAGTAAAGGTGTAAAATTACTATTATATATTGTATTGCGTTATTGTATTATTATATTGTATTATTGTACTGTATTACTGTATTTTATTATATTATTATTACATTATATTGTACTATTTATACATTAATGGTCATTAATGTATATTAGGTCCATAGCAAAAGTTAAATAAGTCCAATAGACTTACCGATCTAGAAAAGTAAAAGTAAATTAAAAAGTATGCTAAGTTTACCTCATGTGATGATCATATCGATGCCTGGATGGATCATACTCTCCACCGACGTCCACCACGATATCACAAGTATCCAAGACACTCTGACTTCGAGATCTAAAAATGTAATGGGATATCCATGGATTCTGCAACCCAATATTTTCTATTCATTTCATTTCAATATTATAATTCATGTCATTTAACTAATGCCCTTTGCCAACTTTATCAACATGGTTTAATTACTCAACAAATATAAAAATTTATTAATTATATATTGGTTACATGTTGAGGACATATTGAGTTATATTGGACAATATTATATCAATAATTATGCTATTAATGTCTATATTTCTATATGCTAATGTAGATTAACTTTAATCTTGGTTTAATTTACCCTTTAGAACTAAAAAAGACAAAAAGTAGGTTAAACCAAGATTAAAGTTGACCTACATTGATAGAACAGTAGAGTTTCAGCTTTAGCTTTGTATAGTTACCTCACTATAGAAGCATCCTTGTACTGCGGCAGTAGTTTCAGGAGCGCGCAGGCGAGGACTTCATCGCAATGAAAAGTCCCATCGTGCGTACCGATCCTGACGGCCGATTTGCTCGACATCGTTCTGAGAGTGAAATCGAACGTTTCCCGCCACGTGAAAAATTTGGAGAATCCGTTGGAACGCGCGTTTCTTGGTAATCGACTGAAAACTCGAATCATCGTGCTAAATTGTGACTTGAAGCTATATCAAGTAAATGTTTAGTATTACTATCAATCTTACGAATTCTCACCAAATCGTAGCGAAACGTGAATTCCGCTGGAATCCTCTTTACATGTGGAAGTAATCCAAAGTAACCTTTAAATTGAGGTTATGTGTCTCAATGGTGCATATCACTGACTATACGTTTTATAGAAATACATGTATACTTGATCTTTTTGAATCCAAAATCTTTTCCCTACCGGCGATTGGTTGATACAAATCGAATTTGAGTCCAGGGCGACGTAAACTTGTTGCTGGCTAATATTTTTAGGTTAAGTGAAAGTTATTCAACAACGTGATTTGTAATTTCCCACACGAAACGAGGTTTATCAATTGTTTACTCCTTTAGGTAATTATTCTCGTTCTCCTATTATATTGCCATATCTCATCAGTATAACATATTATAATTCTAAGAAACATAGTTTTTAATTTTCCAAAGCAAAAAAAGAAATGTGTTTTAAATGTAATCTTAATGTATTTAAATATGTATTTAAAATTTTTTTTAAATACATTTAATCTTCCGAAGATGATGTCAAAATCTATAATAATTACTAACACTGTGTTTGTAAAACTCATTTACTTTTATTAAAAGCATTAATATACATATATAATTTTAAGGAACTCAAATAAGTTAAATAAAAAAGAACAATATTAAGTATATTTTAATAAGAACAATCTAAATTTGCAGATGTAACATAAAGAATTAAATTGTTTGATATTTTTGTGTAAAGTGGCAATTGTTACAATAATAGATATTAGAATTAAGAACTAATAGTAAATTCAAACTTTCAACTTGTGTCATTTTTCTTATGAGAGTGCAATATGTTTTACTAAAACTGTAGTAACATTAGATATTAGTCAAATTGCTTGTATTATGTTTTTATATAATAACTTTTAATGTACTTACAGAATGGTGCAAGTGACTGGCCTTGTAGCAATACGATTCCACTTGATGCAATAGTTCCTCGTTGTTGCCAGTTTATAGAGTGCTATTACTATGTTATTTCAATTTGTTTAAAACTGGTCTTGGAAAATGCCAAAACGTACTTGTCCCTTCGAAGAGGACTGTCATCTGTTGCCACAGATGAAAATGCATGTGGGAGAAAAGCAGGTAGATAACGGCGTATCGAGTGATCAGCGGATGAGAGATGTCTATAGTAAGTATTAAGCTCGTTTTGTGAGATATTGTATGCTCTCTTTTAAATCTTAAAACTCATTTCTACTGATTGTATTGATCAGCATACTAGTTTCCTCTATTTTTATAAAGAAGAAGGAACTAAGTTGAAATAATATGTCAATTCAATGTGGATGAGTCTTTACATTTGACCTTGTGTATACTTCCAGGTAGGACCCTGAGTTTGCTTAAAGCAGGCGCGAAGACACTCTCCCATAAATTAAACACGTCAGGGCAAATGGATTCTTTAGACCTACCTTCACCTCACTGTCCATCACCTTGTAAATTCAAATCTATATCCAATATGAAACAGATGCTGTTGACCGACAAATTGCAATTGAAAACTAATGACAAAGTTGTCAATGTGGGTTGCAGAATTATGTTTGCACTTGGACCATCTTATATGGTTTGTGACTGTCTGTTTTTCTTCCAGGATATCCAGGTAGACCTCTGCGGGTGTTACCGGTTGATAGATCGGTCTATAGTAAGCGCATGTTATTACTGTGATCAAGCGTTGTGTTCCTCCTGCCAATCTGTGTGCGCCAATTGCTCAGAATTGTTTTGTCAGAACTGCTCTCTACCTGTGTAAGTTATTAGCTATGTATGCCTTTATAAAAGCTTCATATGTACGTAACTGTATGCGTTGTCTCATTTCAGATATAACTGTGACGAACAAATCATGTGCCTTAATTGCTATCGATAACTGTCAAAAAGAAAGATATTTTTACGCGAGTCTTTTACGAAAATTGATATTTATTTTATAATATTATTAATGTAAAACAAAAATTGTTACAAATATATTTTAAATATCATTATTATGCAATAAAAATTTACAAAATGAAAAAATAAAGTACAAATCTTTGCTTAAAAAAAAGTTTTGTTTATCTTATCCTGTAAGCGTCTTAAATATTAGATAATGTTTCATTAGAGAGAGAGTACGTAAAAAATAAATTTATTTAATATAAAAATTCTTAAATGTAAAAGTAACGAATAACGTTGTTGCTCATATTTATTTTTTATTTAATGAGAGTTGCAATTGTTGCTTAGGATTTCTTATATATATTTTACATACAATACGTCTAAGTATAGTTATGATTCTCGCTTCTCTTTCAGTTGTAAATCACAATCAATCGAAGATTTTTAATATGAAATCTTCAGAACTCATTTAAAAATCCTGGCTGAGATAATATTTTTCGCAATAAGTTCTTTATCGAATTAATTTAGGGGAGCATTATTTTATATATAGGAATGACCGAATGTTTCGGCTCATCATATTTATATTATTAGCGTCTCAAATCGATTGTAGTTAACGTCCGAATTTTCGGCGCACAGTCACATCTGAGATTATTAAATTTAAATTAAGATATTATGAATACAATATATATATATATATATATATATATTGTATTCATAATATCTAATTTTGACCGATCATTGGCGCTCTCTACCATATGTATGTTGTATATTAAAAAATATTTTATTTAATTTAAAAAACTTAGTTGAGAATATAACTTCAAAAAAGTTTTTTAATTTCTCCAAAATTTCCTAGTTCATTTTTTATATAAAATAGTTTTGTATTTTAACGTCTAGAAAAAAAGAGTATGCAATTTCTTGTAGTGTACAAAACGTATATAAAGTATATATATGGCGAGTATAGAGACATATATATAGAAACTACTTATATTTTATAAAATATATGTAAGAGAGAGATGTAATTTTTCTCATTTACTATTTGAGTTAAGTACGTCTGTATATAGTTTCCCAAAAGTGTGAAAACCCCATAATAATTTTTGTAAAAACGAAAACATATATATAGAAACTACTTATATTTTATAAAATATATGTAAGAGAGAGATGTAATTTTTCTCATTTACTATTTGAGTTAAGTACGTCTGTATATAGTTTCCCAAAAGTGTGAAAACTCCATAATAATTTTTGTAAAAACGAAGATATCGGAAAACGAAACACATTCCGATATTTCAAAAAAATATTTCTAGCTTTTGGCGCGAGTGCTGGTCATCGACATAGAGAGTACGCGAGAACTATTTTAATTTATTAATACGCAAAATGAATAAAAATAAATTTTTTTTTAAGTTCAATAGGAATTTAGAAATTTTTTCAATTGGCCTTTTCCCAAAGTCACAGGCGAGATTAGATTTTGAAAGGGTCTGTTGCAATTGCGATTCTGTATTACAAATTTTCAGCGTCACCTTGCTATTGCAATTTTTTCTTCAATTAAAGGAAAAGAAAGGTGATCAACTCCATACTCCACATTATCGTGTAACTAATAGGAATATTCAGAGATACTCTGTGAAAAAACGCTGCTCAGTGTATTAATATTACAAATTAAATTAATGTGAAATCGCAGCGACATGTTTTCATGTCTGTACACTGAATTTTAAAGAGAAACAACTTTCCACACTTTTGAGCAACCCTGTATAATGAGATAAAACTATATTGTTCATACTTGTATTAATTGCAATGAAAAAAGTATTATATCCTGTTATCAAACATTTATAATTAGATAAATCAGTATTATTTATACATCTTAATATATAAAGTCTATAAAAATATATTAACTAATTCGTTTGAGCATAAATATCACTCAAATTAATTTGTCAAGTAACAAAGTCTTATACAAATTACTGATATTGCTTTTGTGATGCAGCTTATTTTTAACGTGACAGATGAAAATTGTCTTGTAAATATTATAATAGAATTATTAGTTGTGACTCTTTATTACATTTTTCTCTGTTAGTTTTTTGTTATAATATTAAAAAAAAGAAAATTATTGACAACATTCGATCAATTTTCTGCAAAATTAACAGAAGAAAAAATCCTTGTCAAATAATACTCTTATAAAATTTATACAGAAGTTATGTCCGCAGAGTTCTTCACGTTTTTACGATAATTTGAAAAATCCACAGCTAAGTCAATTTCATCTGTTTCCTCGCCAAGAAGATGGCCTTCCACCTCGACTTTTGACTTTCCAAATATTCTGTAAATAGATTTTGTGCAATGCGCTAACATTAATTTTAATATTAGCTAATTTTTCACTATCCAAATAGGTATTGTATGTGACAATGGTATATAACATAATAACACATTATATTAGTTTTGTAAATGCACTTCAATAAATTATGTATTTGTTATTTTTCCCAATGGAGATGTAATGTATTAACAGCATGAATAACATAAAAATCTGCATAAAATGTACTTCTTTTCATGTAAAGTACATTCTATGGAGGTGATTACTGCAAATGTATTAGTCGCAAGTAGGATTAGGTAATGTAATTAAAGATGCACATATGAGTATTTATCCATCGAAAATATTTGTACAGTAGAATAAAATTCATACATTATATTCATACAATTTTTCGGACATTCCACAGTGTAACCTATTTACATATTTCACTAATTATCTATATAATATTTATTCATTAATTATTTAATCTCATTCATTATTCATTGTAAAGAACTATATCTATAACGAAGATAATTTCAATTAGATAATACATTTCTCCGCAGGCGAGAACATTCTTTTTCTCAGTCTTATATTTTGTTATAAGTAACGAACCAGTATTTCTTGAGAATAAGTGAAACTTTTGTAACATATGAAATAAAATCTTCCAGCAGAAATCATAATTTCAATCAAATCTAGTTATTATGAAATAAGAATAACATAACTCATACATGAAATTACAGCTTGATTTTAGAAAACACATACAGAATGATTCTTAATATTCAATGTATATCGATATCAATTTCTTTTCAAGTCTCTCGAATAAGAAGTTAGGCAGAAGTTAGATTTTTTATCCTTTTAAAAAATTTTAAGTGAAAATTATTAAAAAAATATATTTCAAAATTATATATATAATAAATAAAGTATATTTTACAAAACCCGAATTTATCAAAATATATACTTAATTAAATTATATAAGTTATTTACAAAGGGTATTAAGCATGAAAAGTTATTGATTAGTTACATATGATTATATTATTCGCAAACAATAATTATAAACATAATATTCAATAAGCAATAAGCGAGGAGAGGGAAGAGCATAAGTTGCATTATCAAAAATAATTTTGGCATTTTGTACATGGTTAGTATAAGAAACAAATAATTTCCTCCCAGAGTTAACATCAGTTAGTTGTGCAGAATGTTAAGCAATGGAGTTACTGCCAATAGAATTTTGTAAACGCAACATATTCATTTGCCTATACCTGGACAATGTGGATGTCGATCTATTTATTGGTACGACCGAATCATCCAATCCACGATGAAGTGATATCGTATCCAATTCGATCGTTCGAGCTGTGGAATGGGCTTGCATAGCTGCTGTATATTCGGAAGTTTCCAATGTGGCTTTAGTTGGTTTACGATAACTGCATAGATAATCAATATACATTAAAATATTCTATTCATTATTAAATAATATAATTTTGCTATTTCTTTCTTTTTTTAAAACGACATAAATATTTAAAAATTAAAAAGAGATACAATTACTTACAGTTTCAATAATAAGGAACTTCCTACTACTGACACGCTACTTAAAGCCATGGCGGCGGAAGACATCCATGGCTGTAGGAAGAAACCAAAGGAGCTAAATACCCCGGCAGCTATGGGAATGCCCAGAAGATTGTAGACACTAGCGAGTAAGAAATTCAGTCTTATCCTACAGACCGTTTTTCTCGATAGATCTAAACACGCGATTACGTCCAGAAGATCGTTCTGCAAAAGATTTGACATTATTTTCATGTAACAATTTGTAGGACATATTACTTTCACTTATTGGTATATGACTTACGCGCATCAGAACCACGTCGGCAGCCTCCACAGCAACATCTGTTCCCGATGCGATAGCAATGCCGACATCTGATTGAGCTAAAGCCGGACTGTCATTGACACCATCTCCCACCATGGCGACTCTCAGACCCTGATCCTGCAGTCGCTGAATTTTAGCCACCTTGTGTGATGGTAAGACTTCCGCGAAAACTTTGCTGATGCCAACCTATATATTCCCAGGAAAGCCAATAGAAATTGATTTTATCGTAGAAATTAAATCTTATAAGTATAAGAGAATCTCATCATTTCGTACCTGTTTGGCAATTGAAGCCGCGGTTTTCCTGTTATCGCCCGTCAAGAGAATTACTTGCAATCCCATTTTCTTTAAGGTGTAAACGGCGAGATGTGCCTCTGGTTTCACTGTATCGGCGACACTGATCATAGCGACAAGCATATTATTTATTGAGACTAGGACTGCGGTGTGTCCTAGGTCCTCCTCGTTAACCATTTGCCTCTCAACCTCCTCCGGAATATTGATCGCATTCCGGCGCATCCATTCCCGGTTACCGATGCAGACCTCGTACATGTCATCTAAGTCACCTGGATCGCCACGCATACCGGGACTTAAAAGTAATTGTAGATCTATGTTTTGCTTCTCTTGTGTTATCTCGGCAATCGGCATAGCTTCGATGGGCACGTTATTGAGAATGTACGTTCCAACTGGCGAATCGTATGCATGATTCATATAGTTGACGATCTGTTCGGATTTCAATACTTCGAACAGTGCGCCGTCCAAATGGGTTACTTTACATTTTAAACCACAACCGGCAACCGCTTGGAAATTCGAGTACTGTCCAGTAGTCGTCAATCCGAGTGTCTCTTTCACGAAGCGTACGATTGCTTCAAAAAGAATTAACAATCATTACACGTTTTCGCGTAATTAAACATTAATGTAAATGTAATTACACAAGAAACATGATGTTTACCTGATGCGATAGGATGCTCACTGTTTATTTCCGCTGTGCCAACGACTAGCAGCATCTTCCCCAGTGAACAGATCCTCTCTTCCACGAATAAAGCGATCTTGGTGACGGTCGGAGTACCGTGCGTCAACGTTCCTGTTTTGTCGAAGAGAACGCATTTGACTTTGTGTGCATTCTCCAGTGGCTCAGCGCCTTTAATTAGGATGCCGTTCAGCGCGCCTACGCCTGTACCAACCATAACCGCGGTCGGTGTGGCCAAGCCGAGCGCACAGGGACAAGCGATCGCGAGTACTGCCAGGGCACTTCTAAAAGCGTACTGAAATATGATCTCCTCACGATTCATACCGTGTTTATTGATCTGATCATTGTGTGATATGGGCAACTGCTCGACATTTATGTAGCCGATGATAATCCAAATCACTAGCGTCACTATGGAGACTGCTATGACCAGGGGTATGAAATAACCGGCTATCTTGTCAGCCAGATGTTGGATAGGTGCTTTGTTCGTTTGCGCCTCCTCCACCAAGCGAACGATCTGCGCCAGCGTTGTGTGTTCGCCCGTGTGAGTGGCGGTGACCAGCAATGGTCCATTCTGATTGATCGAACCGCCAATTACCAATGAACCTTTCTTCTTTGGCACTGGCATGCTCTCACCCGTAATCAGACTTTCGTCGCATGCAGATTGACCAGACAGTACGCGACCGTCAACGGGCACTTTAGCGCCTTGGACCACTTTCAGTACGTCGCCGCGTTGCACCAAATCGATGCTTATCAAGCGTTCTGATAGTATTTCATTATTGGATCCTAACGAAACCAACACAGCATCTGTGGCTTTCAAAGATAATAGTTTTGAGAGAGCTTCGGATGTTTTTCCCTAAAAGCGAAATATATTTTAAAGTTATTTTTCATATATATAGTGATATATTTTATATATCTTTTTACACAGAAGAAATTGAAATATAAAATACCTTCGCTACATGCTCGAGCCATCTTCCCAGACTGATGAAGACAAGAAGCATCGGCGGAGTGTCGAAGAACGTTTGTGGACTGACGTTCTCTTTCATTATTATAGCGGCAGTGAGAACGGCGATGGAGTAAAGATATGAGATCGTGGTAGTCATTGAGATTAAAACATCCATGTTAGTCGTACAATGTTTCAAAGCTTTATAGGCTTGCACGTAGAAATGCCAACCGCCAAAGAACTGCGCGCGCGAATAGTAATGCGAATAATTAATTCAAAACATACACGGCGAGATACGGTAAAGGTAAATGTGTCTATCATATTGCGCGCATACCTGTACTGGTGTGGAGAACACGAGGAGTAACAGATTTTCCCAGGAAAGGCCAGGCACTATGCAACACATCTCCTCATGCGTTTTATTACCATAGGACATAACTATCATAAAATACGTCATCGTTGCCATACATGGAACTCCGAAAATCAGCGATACCAAGAATGCCGTCCGCCATTTACTTATCTCTTCTCTGTGACACAGACAATGATCATTAAAAACTCTTGTATATCACAATGCATACATTATTCATAAAAATTGTATTTACTTTTGATCCAAATAGTCTCTGCTCTCCTTATCTCGATTGCTAAATAGTTGGGCCGTAAACCCTAATTTATTGATACATTCGACGATATCTCTGATACCGGTCTTTTCCACGTCGTACTTGAACTTTCCCCGCTGTGTTGCTAGAGCAACCATCGCCGATCGTATACCAGGTAGCCTCTTCACGGACGACTCTATTTTATTCACGCACGATGCGCACGTCATGCCCATGATCTGAAATCAACTTGTTAGTCAGGATTGTGCTACGTAAAATGTATATACAAAATAGTTATGTTCAGAAGACAAAGCCACTAAGCGTTCTTAGTGATTCTTTATTACGATTGATTTATACATTTAGATTCAGCAAAGTACTAAATGTAAGAATCAGGCTATGGTTCACTTGATACTATACAAATAACTGACCAATCAGAAAAAAGAATCGCTAAGCGCTCATTGAGCGGTTTTATTTTCTGAATCAGATATTAACTTTCTACATAATTTAAATTAAAATCTTTTTATACCAAGCACATTCAAGAATCGTGCCATTATAGACAAGCGGGATTTATTTACCAATTAAATGGACAAAGAGATATCTGTTTTCAATTAATATTAATGCCACAATCTGAAAATAACTTAAATCTTCAACTATCTTACTTTTAATTCGACATCGCCTTCTCCACTCCCACATTCCTCGATTAAGGTCGTAGGGAAACCCAATTCTGATATACTGGAAGCGATATCTCCCGCTCTTATTTTGCTAGGATCGTATGTGACTTCTGCCTTGGCAGCCATCAAAGCCACTAATATGCTGTTTACGCCGTACAGCTTTTTACAGTGTTTCTCTATCGCAGCAACGCAGGAACCGCAAGTCATACCCTTTTTCATAAAAAAATCAATCCATTATCCAGTCGTTTATAATGCTAACGCAAAGCGTTACATTATTACATGGAAAATTTGTAAATATGTACAAAAATACAAGGTATAACGTACTGTTACATGCAGGAAGCACTTTTGTTCTTTCGACAGTTCTTTGATATCACCAGCTCCGTTTGCTTGCAATACCACCTCCTTCTCCACCTTCTTCTTCTCCACTTCTTTCTTCTTCTTCTTTTTATTAAGGACAAGATCCGATTGCGATCTCTCAGTGTCGTCCGATTCTTTCACATACGCGTTGAAGCCTAACTCTTGTATATAAATTGCTATCTGATTGGGCGTTAAGTCAGTACTGTAATAAATTTTGGCTTCTTTATTCTTCAGGCTGATGTTTACGTTCTTTATACTGGGCTTTTTGGACAGAGCACCTACAGAAGAAAATATATATGACTCTTACAGGAAATGTCGGATCTAAGCAATGTAAGATCTGAATACAAAGCATAAAATTTCAAAATTTCAAACATCAGTTATTGCTTACATTGAACAAGATTGATTGACAATGATTGCTTGTTCATATACAAACAATCATTGACAATCAATTTTGTTCATATACAATCTTTTTTTTAAATGGATGCAAAAATTACAGATAGAATAAATAAAAATTTAGATTCCCTAGTATCCAGTTTTCAGATACTGGCATCGATGAGTGCTGAATCACGCACCCCGAGTTTATTTTATCTTCAGATGTCAACTCACCGGTAATGTTTTTAACACATGACGTACACGTCATTCCTTCTATGTGTATGAAGCAGATACTGGTGCTAAGTACTGAAGAAATTTTCTCTTCGTATTCCGTAGACTCGTCGGACGGGGTAGCGGTGAACCCCATTTCCTCGATCGCCTCCGCCAATATTTGTGGCGTAGTCTCGTTGGCCTTATACTTAATGTAGCCGGCTTTCTCCTCCAAAATCACCCTGAGGTTAACGACATCGGGCCGTTTGCCGATTATCCTCTCGATGTTCGTCACGCAACTCTGGCAGGTCATACCCTTAATGTTGATTTTAACCGTGTTGGTCTCCTCCACGAGCTGCCGTGCTTCCGGTATGCGATGCGTGGTACCCTCGTAATCGGTGTCGTCGGAGCCATCCCTGTAAAATTTAACAATGAACTCAGAATTGTGCAAGTGGTTCCTATAGCTTTGGTACAATGAAGGTAAGACATTATCGATCTTAATTTAATTTTTCCCAGAATATAATGCGTTTCATTGTTGAAATTTAGTGCAATATGATGTGTGAGAAATACCAATTAATAATAATTTGAATTTTACTAGTTTTTACGTAAAAATATCTATAAAAATAAATCGCTTTGAAGTGATTTTTATATCTATATGGTGCTTTCACGTGGAAAAAAACACCTTCAATCCCGTAAAAAAATACGTCCCTCTCAAAACTATTTTACTTTCATCTAAAACATTTTTTCGTACCATCAAAAATAAGTAAAATATTCAAGGTTTTCAAGTTAAATGGACCTCACCCTGTGTAATATTTATATCGTACATATAATAATTATATATTATAATATTGTCAAATATTTAATATTTATATAATAAATGTAATATATATGTATATATATATATATATATATAAAATAATTGTGCAGAATAAGTAAAAAATATGTTTTAAAACTTTGTAAGCATATTTCTGGAGAAAAAAAACAAATGTTCCTATTGATGATAATAATGCTACTGATGAATGATTATTAGGTCACAAATGCTTCGAAATAATGGGCACATATAGTACTATTACATATAATAATGGCTTTAAAAGTCAAGTGGTATTTTGTTTGTTTTCACACATGCCTAAGCATGCTTGACCTGATTTAGTCATTATTTCAAATTTATTTGTGTTCATTATTTCGACAATAAAGCATTTGCAATCAAATGTTCATATTAGAAATATTTATTCTTCTTTTTTTATCCAAGAACACACTCATTTCTCTTTTATTCTTTAATACATTTACTATATTATCTTAATAAATATATTGCTTAATACTATTTTAATAAATTAGCAATCACATTTTATATTTAGGCTTTATTACTTCTTTTAACGATATATTCCACATATTCTATTCTAAAGCCTTATGTCCATGATACTAGAAATCGCTCGGAGATCTTGGACAGAGAAAGAATTAACAAATTACATTTAAACAATTTAATTACATGATAAATACGTTAATTAGTCAATTCTTTTTCCATTTTATTCACTGTGGTAATCTTTTTTAAACATTTGCGCAACCCGTCTCACTGACGCGATAAACTGAGAAATCTCATATTCATCATTACAGTGAATAAGCAGTATCGTAGATAAGATATCATAAAAGTTTCGAGAAGATTCAACAAAATTAAAAGTTAATGGCGTGCGCTATTAATTTACAGTAGAGAATTTCAACTGATGTTTAACATGCAATGATCTATCATAAGAAGACAATGGAAAGAACCTCAGTCGGTCATACATATCTCGAATTTCGTCAAAAATTCTCTTTATCTGCAATCCACGGCTCGCGGATAACAATAGTATGTCGACTGCGGAAGCAAATTTCTCAGCGAGCTTTGCAGACAACAATATTCATCGAAGTTGCATTGTAAATTGTTGTTGCATTATAAGTTGCATTGAACAAAGTTGCATTGTAAACGTCACGCAGATAAATTGATTCACTAGAATACTACGCAGACGGACAGGATTATAAATTATAAATTTGATATTAAAATATACAATTATACATGAAAAGAACAGTTTTGCGAAAGTATCTAAAAATTTAACTAGATACAGATCTGAAAATAATTTTATTAAATAATCAAAATAATTATGTAGAACGTTCAAATTGGTTCCTAAATTGTCAATTTTTTTGAAGTATTGTTCATTATGTTTGAGATTCCTATACATAATTATTTTGATGGTGATCCAACAAAATTATTTTCAGATCTCTCTATTTGGATAAAATTTTAAATACTTCAGCAAAGTCGTTCTTTCCGTGCAGTCAAGAAACTGAGAAGAGAATTAATGTGCGAGTTTATTTCGTTACAATTCGATTTTTCAAAGCTGTTCTTGTGTCATGTTAATGACAAAGATGCTTAAGAAATTATATAGATAATCATTCCTAAAACTATTCAAAAGTGGCTAAGATCCATTCGAATCTCTATTTTTTTTATTTCATTTGATCTATAAGGAAACAGAAAATCAATTAAATCTAGAACAATTTTATAGAAATCATTTCCTAACAACGTTTCTTGGAAACGTAACATTACATAACAATTAAGCAGTTCTCCAAAGAGCTTACCGGAAAGTATTAATGGCGCCATAAGTTTTGTCGCCAAGAAGAGGCAGCCTTTCTTCGCTACTCATCATCAAATAGAGTCTGAAGTTTTCCAATACTAAACCTTGAAGTTTTTAAAAATATTTTTGTTGCAATATTTTACGTCATGATTTCTTATCTTTCTCAATTCAGACTCTCGAAAATTATCTATTTCCTATCGTCCGGCACGATAAATAGGCACGCAGAGTTGAAAAAAAAAAAATTTGGAACAAAGTTATATTTTCAACAAATCGAAGTAGACATTTGCTAATTTAAAAAATTGTCAATTTTTTATGTTGAGATATAAGGGCTACGTTCAGGGAATTTACAATATACAATTTACAATATATAAAACAATTATGTAGGAACATATTGCGTATGTGACTTGTTCTTTAAAACTTTGCAATGATCGAGTAAATAAACGGGAACATCTTTCTGATAATTGTTTTTCTGAAGTAATTTTTCAGAAACATGCTAGGCTGTGTTCAGAGAGCACGCTATCAGCACTAATTACATCATTTTAGCCTTGTTTCGCGTCCAATGAACGATAAAGGTAGAATGACACAATAGTGCTGATAGCGTGCTCCACAAACGTAGCCAAAGATATTAGCTTCTGGAAAACTATTACAGAAATAATTACTTCAGAAGGATGTCCCTGTTTTTATTTACTGGAGCATTGTAACAACGTTTTAAAAAATAAGTAACATACGCAACATGTTTCTATGTAATCGGTTTTCCTAATAAGTGAACGTTAATCGTTATGAAAGGAGTTTTCACGGGAAAATTTTATGTTATCAAGGTAAATTCTACTTCATTGTCCACCTATCTATTGTCGCGCTTTGATAAAAACCGTGATACAAAATTGCGATTCGATTTCAACCAACGTTAACAAACCGAACCGGATTTTCTATCGCTATTCACCATGGAAACTTCAACGTCCAACTATGTCGTCCGACTATTTCAGATAATCAGATACGCTGTAGAGAGAACGATCCAGGGAAACGCACGATCGTCAATCGGTCACCCCTATGGAAATGCGATTTTTCGCCAGCAGATTGCAGAAACGTTCGCGATTTCTACGATCGTGCGAATCGAAGACGGCGTATAAGTGGGGAAGACACGGCACCAAAATATTACGCGATACTCGACACGAATTGATATCACCGAGCGACTGATAACTTCACTAATCGTCTGCCTCACGATCGGTTGCTCACGGATCGCCTTTTGCCCACGGCACTTCTTTGTCGCGTCCAACAGAGAGAATAAAAGCCGGATGATCGCGCGTAGCCAGCTGATATGCGACCAGCTCGGCATACGTGACAATGCCGACCTGGAGGCGTCGAAGGACCGTTCGATGAAGAGCTCGAATATTTGGAATTCCATGGAAGGTGCCGGTTAGGGGATAATCGAGACTAAATTGATTTCACCCTTACGAACGAAGACTGAACTTTCCCCCTCAAATATTTTTCTCGTCCTATTTTAATCTCGAGGAAATAATTTTTGATTCATGATAGGAAAAATTTAAATTTAACATACTTTATGTGTCCCAAACGATCTACTCAAATTTATGTTGACCAATGGTACGGTCAACGCGATGCTACAAATGCTTTAAAGCAATTTTTGATTGGTCAATTTGTAAAATTCTTTTTTGTAATTGGTCAACCAAACGCTGCAAGCATTTGTAGTGAAACTTTGACCGCAGCCTTATATGTGTCAACATGTGAGAAACAATAATAATATTTCTAAAATAATAATAATTTTCAAAGATAAGATCACACACTCACACACCCACACACACATAAACCTAGAACGATAATTTGAAATGATAAAGATAAATGGATAATCCTTATCATTCCAAATTATTCTTCATTACACCTGCACTTACCATTAAACTTGGCACTTATGATACCAGAAATGGATTATCTTTACTTATCTTTAAAGAATTGTTTTAGATATATTATTATTGTTCTATATGTTGGACACGTAAGACATAAATCAATATAAGTTGGAATGGATCGTTTGTTAAATTCAAAACATTTCTCACGTGTTTTAAACTAGGGATGCACAGAATCGTAAAATTATTGAATATCGGACATGTTAACGTCGAGACACTACCGTGTCTCCAGATATCGGATATCCGAAAAGAGTGTAACATCGGATATCCGATGTCCGATCGGATATCCGAGAAGGCAATTTTTCGAGTCGGATATCCGATATTTTCCGGATTCCGGGACAATGTTTAAAAAAAGGCTGAATAAAAAAAGAGAGTAAAAAGGAAAAGGGATTGTAAGGAAAAAATAGTGGTAATAATTATGATTTTAATGTTATCATCCGAGTTTGATTATCAATAGAGATGATAATGTAGAGAAAAAAATTGTAATTTTGCAGCAATATATAAAATATTATAGCATTACGAGTATACATACTTATATATTTATAGAACATTTATATAACAAAAATTTAATGATATATTATCCAAATATTTATGTTAATAATCGTAAATTTATATCGATTATTGATAATGTCAGCGTTCTTTAATTACTTCCGGGCCTTCAGGACCCTTTTTATATGGACGAAAATTTGCCTAGGATTGACTTTAATAGTATGTCGTTGGTGGCATGATGTATCATTTTATCCTTCTTTAGTATTCGATGAACAACAAGGACAAATGATGCAGCAAGCGCTTCATGTGTAATTCGGAACACGCTCTATATCCTGTTTTTGTTTTACATCTAATGAATGATAAACATAGAATGACACGATAGCGCTGATACTGTTGATATCGCTCTGTGAATACAGGAATACAGCCTTAGCTGAATTTCTTGCACAATTAATTTTTTTTTATCTCCTCAACGTAAAAAGAAAAAGAGGAAAGATAAACTGTGTACAAAGTTCAGCTGAAAGGAAGTCTGCATCAATGACGCAAACTTTCAATATAAAATTTCAACCGGATATATTCCCGGATACTAATGATATCTGACTATCTGGTCGGAGTAAAAAAGTGCGGGCTAATACCGGATACCGGATACTTTTCGGATATTCGGAGCATCCCTATTTTAAACGATTCACTCATATTTATGTTGACTTATATCTCATGTCAACACATTGAAATTAATATATCTAAAATAATAATTTGGAAAGATATATAAGGATAATCTATAATAGAATAGTAATTTGGAATGATAAGGATAATCCATTTCTGGAATTGTGAGCGTTAAGTTTAATACATTTCATGTGTCCCAAATGGTCCATTCAAATATTTGTGTTAATTTAACATAAGACGAATACGTTACAAAGTAAGACAGATATTATGTAAAAAATTAGCACAAACATTAACACAATTTGTAAGTAAACTGTGGAAGTATATTTTTTCAGTAAAATTAACATTTATGATACCTATATTAAATTAATATTGTAGGATTTTATTTATTTTTATTTTAGAATTTACGTTTTAAAATACATTAATTTTGTTATTTGTTCATTTACTCATAAATTATGTATTTAAGCCTAAAAAATGTTTAAAATATCAATTTAATATAAAATATTCAAATAATATTCAAAAAATCACATTATGTTAAATTAATATTCGGATACGTTAAAAGTTCAACACAAAATTTTAACAAGGACTTAAGTAAACTGGACTTATATATAAGTATTGGTTTTAAGTTTGAACACAAAAATAAAATATGTTTTACTTTGTACAATTATAAAGCTATAATTACGTATTATATAATTGGCAATGTTTACAAGTGCATATTTCCTGGCTAATGCTTTTTTTGGAATATAATAAATGTAAAAGATAAGGACGAATCGTTCATTACGCATACTACATTGTATTATTATTCAGCAGATGTACAAGCACGAGGGTTTCCTAATCGCTGAACAACGCGGCATTTTATCATTACAGAATGTCAAATTAAACGGAGTGTACGCGATAAGTCGAGCATGATCGACGTCAAAGGCAGATCCAATATTGCCAGGCAAGGACGCTCGTGCATCTTGGCGGTTTTGTATCGCAAGACATAGCTAACGCAATGGCAAATTCTGATTGTGTAGGTTACGCAGAAATAGGTATAGCTTATGTTTAAAAGTCGCACGATACTATAGGCAATCTTAATTTTAACGCACGTGAAAGTTACTAGTTCAAGTAAAAGGCACGCTTTCTGCTCATGATAAACTTTCATTTGGCAAGCTAGACACATATGCATGCATACTGCAAAAGAAACTTAATGAAAATCCAAATACGTATTAATGAGGTTCTAATAAGAATTCCGCTGATATTTTGCAACCATTGTACAAGCTTATAATACACCATTGAAGCATAATATTTCTTGGTTCCTGAGAAAGCGTCATGTGAAATTCTCATGGTATTCAGAGAAAAAGACATAATGGCAGCAACTATATATGTAGATGATAACTGTATACAAGATTTATGTAAAATTAATGTACAGTACAAAATTAGTACAGTATAAAAGTGCAAAAAGTATTCGCGCCGTACAGAGAAAATATTTTCTAAAAAAACTGTATTTTTAAAAAGTAAATATTATCCAGCGAGAAATGAGTCGTCGAATCGATATCGACACGATGATTTCAACACCAATTCGATGTCGATTCGACGATAATTTCTTGCTGCAATTAACAATTTATTCATAAAGAATAAAATAGACTGTGTTTCTTAAGATTATATATACCAAAAAGATGTGTATTAATTATAGAAAATATATCAGCTGAAAAATAAGCGGAAATTAAAAGTACTATTGTTAGCTCAAAAAGTATTCGTACAGTTGAGAAATTTAGCTTCTAATCAGGAATACATGCGAAGCTTATTTGTTTATGTTAAAACAGAGTATATTCATTGTATAAAATTGCTAATTAATGTTTATTACAAATAAGACTTTTTTTATAAAAAAATTTCCTTGTACGAATATTTTTTGTTCTCACTGTACATATATATAGTTAAATAAATTATCATCAAATACGTGGTTGTACATTAATTCTATATATAAAACATGTACACTTATCACTTATTATATAACGATTGTCAACACTATCTTCCTCTGACAATGAGTGAACTTTCTTGTCCATAAATAAATATGATAATAATTATTTTCATCAAAGCATGAGTATTGAATGATAATTCTAATTATCGTACACAGAAATAAATATCAAATAAAAACTATATATATATAAATCGTTCGATTTTATCGTACAAAAAATGCTTGATCTTAGCAAATGCGAAATATATGATTTAATTCGAAGCAATTTTTCGAAGTACAACGGATATTTGCATTTTAAGATATTCGATTTAATTTAAAGCAAATAATCAGAGTTGGACTCTTGAGTCAAATATTAAACAAATATTAAATAGAAAAAATGGACAATTAAGAGCCTTAATACGCGACTCAAATTGAACCGAAACGTTCAGTTATTATATTTATGTAAGATATGAAACATATGTTGATAATATAATCGCACTAATTATCGCGTAGTAATTACGAGCTCTAAATAAGGCTCGTAATTGTCCGTTTTTTTAATTTAATATTTAGTTAATTTAAAGCAGAAAAATATGACGTTTTAACATTCGGAAGGATGTTGAACATGCTACATCGAGATTAACTCTAGAAAATCAACGACTTAATTTCTCGGATTTGATTCTACTTACACTCAAGACTAAATTTTTGGAAACGTTTTTTATAAATTAATTTTATAAACATTTTTCTTTAAATTAAATTATCATTTAAATTAACATTTTTCTTTAAATCCAATAACTATTATTAGATTTAAAGAATTATAATTAAAAAAAACATATTGTTCGGAATATTTGAGTAATTCCAAAAATGTCCATTTTTTAAAATTGTTCCCAAACTTTTAGCTTGAGTGTATATATGTATAAACAACAATTTTGGATACTAACCCAAGTAATCTTATATTTTCATACGATACCAATGAGCGGTTCATTTCATTCGTCGTGATATCCACCAAACTGTGATACCCACGTCTCATCCGATGCACCAACGGACCTCTGAACTTAGTCATCTCGCTTTAGATTAAACGACCAGAGAACATCATGACGTCGAGTCAAGATTTATGACTTATTTTGTCACACATCAAGTTGTCCCTCACAATTCACATTTCTCTCACTAGCCAAAGATTAATCCTAAGCTAATCCTAAGAGATAAACATATCATAGTAAATATCACGTGTACATCGCTGCAAAAATGAGACAGGAACCTCGTATGACCACGAGCGATGATTCACTGAAGTAATCGTCACAGTAGTCTTCCACGCGTCTAAAAAAGCACTAAACGACAATAAAACTGCGTTAAGTTCCCATTTTCGTTTTCACAAACATTAGTTTTTTAATTGCTACACTAACTACACTCTAAAACTTTTCGTCTCGTTTTAGCAAAATTTCAAACATATGTCTATTTCACTTTAATGACAAAAAGTGCACACTAGTCCAAGTATAAAAAAAACAGTCCTCTAGTAACATTTTAAATTAGTCCCGCACACCGTAACACTGTATCTAACCGTAAAAAGTTATCGTTTATATAAAAATATATTTTGCGTCTAGAAAAATTAATGATCAAAGATTCAGGATATATGAAGCTCGACAAAGACACCAATCACACCGCAACACGTTATATGAAAATGCTACATGTTTCACGAGCGAAACCGAGGCGAGAGCGAATATCCGGAGGACCAGGTGAGTCAGACTACCTAGGCTGACTACTTGGGACAAGCGTAACTCGGACGAGAGAGAAAGGCCGTGCTCTAGATAATGATTTCAGCGAGATTGAAGGGGACTTCGTGATACTCGTGCATGTGCGTGACGGAAGAGAGAAAAATAAATTATCGCGTATTTTATACTGATGACGCAAGAATATCAAGTGACTTGAAATTCCGACATTCAATTTCAGAGAAGTTTTTAAATTAGTTTAAGGAGGCGAACTCTTTTAAGTTGATGACGTTGCGAAAGAGAGGAGAGAGAGAGAGGGGGGGGGAGGGGGAGAGAGAGAGAGAAGTCCGAAGGATAAATACACTTTTGAATTTTACTCACAAAGTGTCTCTGGCTAGTAATATCAAGTATCTATTGCATTTTAAGCATAACGTATCAAAGCAAGAATTAATATTTCATCTGACTCGAAAAGTTGTTTAATATAAAACATGGTTTATACAAGTTATAATTAAGTTGATTTTCAAGTTGCTGCATTCTAAGTACACGATAAGAGTATCTCGGTTATTCCTTAAAGATTGCACATGTACACGAAAGAAAAAAATTGATTTATCGGCATTAGTTTAATTGAAAATAATCTTGTTAATTCAATAACAGTATTAATAAAATAAACACTTAATATTTAAATATGATGTATTTATTTCAATAATACTATTAACAACTTGACAAAATTATTTTCAATTAAAGACTAAGATACTATTAATATAACATTATTTTTTTCCGTATATGTATAATTAAGATGTTTTCAGATGTTTCCGGATGTGTATGATAAATACTTCTCACGAAACAGAGAGTAATTAAGAAGATTTAAATACAACGCGCTTTCAATAAATACCGAAAAAACTTTATTATCTGCAAATTGTCCAATTAATTTGAAGTTAACCTTTTCTTGCTACAAATTTTATCGAACGTTATCTTCCTTCAAAAGATCATAATTTTCAGAGCATTATCTTTAATTGATTTTATATCTAGTCAATATATGTATATCTTAACAACAATGTTATTGCATTCGCTTCAGACGCATGATCTCGCTTAATAGTTATTAAACTGCATACAATTTAATGTGATGATCGTTGTTTATCATGAGTCGCTGGGAATCACAATGTAACACGCTCGTGTTTAATAAAGTGAGAATGGTCGCGAACATTAATCCAATTTTGCCGGTCATGTCTCTCGGAATTCATCTCTGAACAAAAGAGACGAATTGCTACTGACGGACAAAAAAATGTGCCGGAGATAATTATAGGAAATTAATGACAAGAATAAAGCGTGATTCACTTAAACGGACGAGTTGATCGAGAGTGAGAATCCTTGGAAAAATTCAAATTCTTACACTCAGCACAGACATACTGATAGCGACTATTAGTTGAGTAAATATTTTCTGTTTTAGTATATAGATTTTATTTCTCAATTAAAAAACAACAATTATACATAATGAATTATATATTCGTCATTATTTGTAATAATTTGTTGCTATTTATTATAGATAGCTCTTCTACACTAGGAAAAATGTTTAAGTGTTCTATGAATCAAAATTTTACTGTAGCAACAAAAATTTGATTGAAATATACCGAACAAAAATGTTTGGTTAAAATATACCGAACAAAACTATAATTTTATATGAACTAAATTGTTCAATTGGTAAAACAAATATTTTTATTTACAAAGCAGAGAAATTATTTTGTAAAAACAAAATTAAATTTTTGTTATATAAACAAAATATTTGATTTGTTAAAAAAAATTTCTCAACTAAATAGTTTTGCTACCGACGAGATACTATTAAAGTCGGTACTTATGGAAATTCGCGTGCCTGTTAAAATTTAAGTGATTATGAGTAAGAAAGTAGTAAGACGACACTAATTTCATGATTTATTATTTTCGTAGCATGTACATATATATGTTTAAAACTTAATAATACTCAATTTTTATTTAAAACTGTGATTTTTTTAAATGTTATCATCCGAGTTTAGTTATCAATAGAGATGATAACTACGGAGAAAAAATTATAATTTTTTTGCAATATACAAGATATTATAGCATTAAAAGTATGTACACTTATTTATACAGCATTTATATAATAAAAAATCATGAATTTAATAATCTCTCTCTCTCTCTCTCTCTAGATAATTGAATAAACTATTTTACAGTTATTGTAACAAAAAGTCTATTTAACTGTAATAAGTTTATTCAATTATGTATTGAATTGGAACAAAATTCGAAGCGCAACGAACTTCCAAATTCAAGTTGAACTTCGTTCAAAATGAGCGAAATTAAAAAAATTTTTTTAATTAAAAAAATTAAAAAAATTTTAAAACTTAAAATTTTTATTTTCTAAAAATCATTTATGTTTTTTAAGTTTTTGTGAGTTCGATAATTTTTACGTATCGAAAACTATGAGCTAGACAAAGTAGGAAATTTTTATTTCAATTTATAGGTCTTCATGTGTAAAAAAAAATTTGCGAAAATTTTCGACTTTTTAACGTGAAAGTTTAAAATTTTGCTATAAAATCGTTTTTAAAAAAATGTTTTTAAGATTTTTTGTTATTGCGGATTAAATAAAAGGAGCTTTTTTATTTTGATTGCTCACAATTCTGTCAAAAATCAACGTGCCATAATTGAAAAAACGAATTTCTTGAAAGTGAAACTTTGCTTTATCAAATGGTATTATTAACAATTTTTTTAAAAAAACATGTACAAATAAAGTAGCGCTACGAACTTTTGTTCCGAACATATTAATTTTACATATAAAACTTGTTGTTACCTTTATAGTTGCCATCATTATATTTTTTCCGAGTGTAAGTTAACAATTATATAACTTACCCGGAGGCGGATGTCTCAATTAATACGTTGTATTTCCACGCATTCTTAGAATTTCGTGCCATTTCGCTACGTGTCACTTGGAAAATTCCCCTTCTATATATGAATTACTTCAGATACACGTACTACTGTTCCCATAAATTTAAATCTGACAAACTTTTCTCTGTCCGCTACAATCACTTTTGCTTCTCGTTAATTGAACTACATCTGATTCTCATTGAAACGAGACGTATATAACTAATAAGGTTTCATAATAGAGTCGTAACATATCTTAGACGGATTCGAACGCACACTGATATTGCTCCGGGCGATTCTGTGCACTTGATAACATGGAGGACGATGAAACACCTGTTAATACATCCACGTTGCGCTCTGAACGGATCCGAATCAAATACGACGATCTGCAAGACTCCAATTTCGATATTCGATCGGTCCTCCGGTTACAACACGACGCTGTAGATACGTTCGCAACTATGTTATCAAACAGTATTTGTAAAAAAATATTAAAAATATGGAGCCAATATCATTTTTATTTGTATTGGTTGAGATTTGATTTCGAGAAACTCTTTAAACGCAAGAGATTGGAGATTCGTTAAAATCAGAGTACTGCTTAACATCAAAAGTATTAAGCGGTCATTTTTGACCGTACCTATTTTTTAGATTTATATTATATTTGTTAATGTAATAGAGATTTTAAAGTTTCTTGATCGTTTAATAATTATGTCCTTTACATTGATAAAATATTTAGTTTTTCATCACTTTCTTTATTTTCATAGTAATTTATTTGCTTGATCCTTTTAGTGAAAAATAACGTTGATATTTTTAATATTAACTTTTAGAAAATTATTATTGATACTGAACAATCAAATGATTATTTTCTTACTGATATCATAGTAAAGTAATACATGACATGGATATTTAAGATAAACTTAATTAAACTTGTTCGACGAAATAATTTTTACCATGATGTCGGTAACTGCGATAACGCAAACAATCGCACTACATTCTGTCGCCGCGCCCTAAGTGACATTAGAATATGACTGTGGTGTTTTCGATTAAATCGAGCGCAACTGATTCATTTTCGTGTGCAAATGTATTATATGATGCAGTACTTGGAGAGGTTTAGCTGCAGCAGATAAGATAACCCTGACGACAAAATTGGAGATCTCTTTCAAGTTACAAGGACATTATTACGCTTTTAGTTTTTAAACGACATTTGTTCTTGCAACAAAACATGCAACAAAAACTGAAGTCAATGCCGTAATCCTTCTGCATGATTCATTGGTTCAACGCTCCATTTATCTCAAGGTTTTTGAATTATAAGTTGCGATTAAAATCTTTTTAAGATATATATATATATTTTTTTTTTTAAATAAAAAGAGAGAGAGAGAGAGAGAGCAAAATTATTAAAATGACAAAAATTTCGATAGTAAATCGGATACACTTTATCGAATATTTTAAACTTCCGGTTCCGGAAATGGACTACCCACGCAAAATGTTTTTTGTTTAAATATATACTTTTTATTGCAGATTCGGATTATATATGAGAGAGAAAATAAGAAACTTTTATTTTAAATATTTCTTCTGAAAATGCTTTCATTGATCTTAAAATAATCTTGAAAGTAAATAAAAAAGTAAACTCTGTGTTGTGATAAAAGATTCAACATCCGGTCTAGAAACCTCATTTCCGGTCAAAACCAAAAGTTGAAAATATCACTATTCGAACGTACCCAATTTATTTATTAAAATTTTTGAGATTTAAAAAAATTATTTCCCTTCATTTTAAAAAGGATATATAAGTCTGGGACATTCTATATAGAAACATTTGCCTCTTAAATTTCAATTCGAATAAAAAAATATTCATAGATATAAAGAGATGAGTATCTCACTCACCTTTTTTGTGAAGAACGATTTTGTGCCTTGATATCTCCAGCATCGATCCTCTCTGCAAGTAAATTTAATTAAACAATATAATGTCAATTAATAAATAGTACTTGTGAGCGAAAGAATATTAGTGATTCAAAACAAAATTTTAGAGAATATATTGGAACAATATTTTTTGTTTAATTTAAGAAATAAATTAAGCAATGTATTTAAACTAAAAAAAAAAAACGAGTATTAATATTAAAATCGTAGAAAAACTAAGTTGACTAAAGA